TTCCTCCCTGGACTCACCTTCGCGCGCGTCATTGAGATGGATGAAGATGAAGTTACCATCATCCAATTTGCTAAGTCCGAGAACGTCGGACGATTCCTCAGTGACATAAATGTGCACCGCTGAGGCTCCAGCTGTACGGTTCAAGGCCTTCAGCGCATTCTTCACGTTAGGCAGGTATACAGCATCATCAATGTTGTCGTGTAAGTAGGGGAACGATGTCTCACCATTACTGTTTTTCTGTGAAAGGTCTTCAACCGACAGTCTTGGTTCGATAAAAACGAGGGTCAGTGTGCCCGGTAATACTACCTGCTCGACTGCAGCTGAAAATTCCTCGCTGGTGTATGTGGTAAGAGGATTCGCTTTAACAGAGCTCTTGATCGACTCGCCCCACATGAACACTGGGACTTTGGATGCATAACAGCTAATTACACTTAGAACTAATAACGGGAACACCACACGGCAAAACGCCATTTTTAAGGCTATAACTACTGGACGTAAAACGGACTAAAAGTTAGTATTTTAGCCCAAAATTGTCATAAAAAGACAGCGTTCGGGCGATGACGATTGACCATCGGTCATGTGAAAAGTGATCATATGATAAACTTTGACGCCTTGTCTATGTTCTATAATGTTGCCATGATCTTATTTCTAGACTACCACAAAGACATAAAAATGAAAAATCAATAAAGTATTTTGAGAAATATAACAGACAACAATTACTTTTTACGTATAATAAAATGCTAAATATACATATTCAATTCATTAGTAACGCTATTTTACGTGCTAATATTTAATTTTAAACCATAGAATATGTTTATCTGCGGATTAAATTCCCATTTAAATGGCAAAAAATCAAAGGCTAAATCAATGTTTTTATGTAGGTTTCATTGACAAAATGATACTTTGAGTATAAGCCTTTTAAACAATTTGAATTATTATTAGATACTACAGATACATACTACTATCCAAAGACCTTGTACTTAAAACTAGACTGTGCACCAAATTTTTTTGTTTAGCTAAAATGTGCTTTATCCCGTTATGTATAGGGTAGCTATTTTCTTAAAAGCGTTAACAAACTAAAACCGGTCCAGGCGAGAGGGCTCCTCACGGTAGTGTGTCCTTGTCTCACATCTTGCCAGCTCAACTAACCTTAGGGGTTGGTAGAAATGGTAGAAAATTAAATATAAACAATTCATAAACTACAAAACGTATATAAATGTCTTTATAGTCCTTATAATTAATAGTCAATTTGCGGTATTATACGAAAAATCATTAATACAGAGTAAACAGTAGTACTTGAATGTTTGTGTTCGGTAACAATTAATGCAAGATGGCGGTTTGCTGATTTCGGGTTAGGGTAACAATGAATTTTCTCGATCAAAGATTTTCTTACTATATCGCAGTAGATAGGCAGAAGATACGACTAACTGTTTTTGTCCTTTGTGTCCTTTTCATTTTTTATTTTATTATTTTAAAGAACTTGTTAATACCAATGATATTATAAGTAAACAGGTGTAAATAGGTTATAAGCGTCCAGTAAGTGTTACATTAAAATGTGATGCAATGTAGAAGCAAATACGAGACGTGTAAGCTGGACGATCGTCTTTAATTAAGTGTATATACCTAATAACTTACACTACTTAAGGAGATAGATCTCACACACTACACCTTCCCCGTTTTTTAGAAAGTAAAAAATATAGCCTAAAACACATTATTTCTTATAATAAAAACTTAATAAACATTTACTTTAAATATTCGCACTGTTGACAATTACTTATACAATAGAATTTTTGAATGTTTTATAGAATTAGATAAAGTAATGTAAAAAATAATGCTTACCAAGCTTGTCAGAAAACAAAATTCACATTTCAATTCACCCCTAAAATTAAGCACCTTTTGCCTGCCCATCCAGCATCTGACGAATCCCACGAATTGGAACTGATTTAATGTATTGATAAAAAAAAACTTAAATTTAAGACATAAAAGCTACGGGAAGACTTTAAGCCTCAAGCATGTAGGAAATAGGGCTACATTATGACAAAAATTGCGTAAAACTGTATTGTTCAGCAATGTATAAAAATAAATCAATATTAAAAGAAAACAGTCTTTTTCATTCCACAATACTGCATCACATTCATTTGCCCTAACACTAATTTAATAATAATCCTCCTCATCATCTTAGCAAATGTTATCCCGGTTACATATGCTAAGCTTTCACCTAGGAGCTTGCCAAGGTTCGCCGAATACGAACTTGGAGTGGCGAGTCTGATAATTACAGTAAAGCGATTGCCATCTGACTTTCGTAGCCACAAGGGGAATCAGACAAATTTTTCGGATAATGGTTAAACATTCAGCCAACCTCACGGTGTATTCCCTCGCCGAAATCAACCTTTTTGCTGTAGGTAATATTAATATGATGGTGGGAATATATCACTTTTAAAAGTAGAAAAAAGTACTTTCAACCCTTAACCACGTGTACAGATTACTATATAAATACTTACTTACTTACTTACTTTACTTACAGGTTCTGTAGATTTAAAAAAGTAATTTTTAACAAAAAAAACCGACTTCCAAAATTTATTTTTTGCTTTTTAGTTTAGTTATTTTGGAAGTCGGTTTTTTTGTTAAAAAATATTTTATTTTACCATTTTAAGTGATAGGCAGAAAAAGCTAGCATGCTTCTCGAAAGAGAAGACGACGGCTATTTGAGACCGAAAATCACGGTAATAATAGTCCTGAGTTAGTCAGCTTTGAATGCTGTAAATCGTTGAGGAATTCCCTCAAATGTCAATGACTTCCATCATCAGGTATACTGCAGACCTTCATTATACACAATCCATATAGGTGCAAAGTTCTCGTCAATATAAATGAATTAAGTCCAAACAGGAGGTAGTTACTGAAAACCGTTCTGGAGTTCCCTGAGTGGTCTTTCATTCTCATCATCAGACCCTTAATGACAGTCACGACCAATCTTGGTGAAAAGTGCTCATCAATACGAATCATTCAAGCCCAAACACAAGGCAACTACTCCAAATAGTCAAGGAGATCCCACGACGGTCTTCCACCTTCGTCATAACGATTTACTGTATAACTTTATTGTAATTCATAAAGGTGCAAAGCTTCCATCGATATAAATAAATTAGGTCCAAACACGATGTAGTTACTGTAAAACGGTCAGGAGTTTCCTGAGCTGTCTTTCGTTTTCATCATCAGACCCTTACTGACAGTCACTACCAATCTTTGTGCAAAGTGCTCATCAATACGAATCATTCAAGCCCAAACACAAGGCAACTACTTCAAATAGTCAAGGAGATCCCTCGATTGTCTTCCGGCTCCATCATCAGGTCGAGTTCGGACATCGGCAAGTTGTAGCGTTGTCAAAAGCCTACTAAAACCACATGCAAAAGCACCACTCGTACCTTCAATTTTTAAAAGTTCTCAATTTCTCTGGTCTTCCATCATCAGATCCTGATTTCCTTATCATGGGACCATTCTAAAACTATCTCCTTGCCAACAAAAAAGAATTATCAAAATCGGTTCATTAATAACGGAGATATCGGCGAACAAACATAAAAAAGCATATATATATGGTCGAATTGAGAACCATCCTCCTTTTTGGAAGTCGAGTAAAAATATACACACGTTTTGGATTGTTGGTTTTTTCTTACAAAAAATTAGGTTGGTGAAGTTACGCTAGTTTGGTAATATCAATATATCATGATACTTAAATAATCGTTTTTACAAGCAATTTGTCCCGTATTCTGTTTGGTCATGGTCACTACATTAGAAAGGGACACACTACCATTGGGAGCTGTCTCGCACCGGCTCGGTTTTTGCGCCTTAGTGCACAGTCTAGTGTAGAGTATAAGGTCTTTGCTACTATCTAATACTATTTTATAGTAAACAGATTATTTATGTGTATTAAACATTATGAATAGAAATGGATTAAAGAAATGGGCGACTCGGAAACAATCTATCATTCCATTCGGAATATTCCTGGGAATATGCACAAAATGGGTATTTTCCTAGAAAAGTTTTCTAATGGTGGGTAAATTGATCTTTGTGATTTTTCTATTGCGAAAAGTATTAAATAGGTAAGTTTGAAATAAATAAATAAACATAGGTACATTCTTGCTTTTCAATTATTATTAATAATTTTATGAGTGTTAAGAAGTGAAACATCTCATTTGTATGAACTACCTACTATACTAGCTTTATGATTATATGCGTAAATAATAATAATAGAAAAATCGGAAAATATGAATCTCTCGTAGAAAGGTTAAAAACTTTTTTACATTCTTTGACACGCTAGTTATGTCTTTAGTTTCTGTTTCATAAAAGAAATAATTTGAAACAATCAGATAACCAAACAGTCGTCAATGAAAAACTCTAGCTTCTAAGGTGTTAAAAAATAATAACTATAAAGAATAATGTTCGTATTACGTACGTTAGCGTTTATATTACTATTACACGCAAGTTTTGGAAACAAAAACACAATTCCAGTGTTTTTATTAGACCATGACCAAATAATGTCTCACGTTCAAGTAGATCCTAATCCATTTACAAAGCTAACGAAAACAAGCTTCGCAGATATCATTCACGATTCAACAAAACGATCTCAAGCCACAATAATATTTGTCGAAGATTCATTAAGTATTGAAGATATAAGCACAAAGGACAAATTGGGCACTCCGTATATGAATTTACGGAGCGATCTAAAAGAAAACAAAGTTAAATATTTCCCATCAGTCATAGAACCTTATAAATTACTGATCGAAATATTCGAACCACGTGAAAGTAACGTATTTCATCTGTCGAGTCACAAAAAACTAAAAGTTATGGATAATTTTAAGTATATTTACGTTTATTTTCAAGATGGTTTTCATGCTAATGAAACCAGAGCTCAAGTGTTGAGGAGACATGATTCTATTATTAGGGACGTGATTTTTATTGTCCGTCAGTTGAAAACTGGACCAGTTGTTGCATATTATACGGGAAAAATGAATCCTATTGTGGTAGAAAAGTTAGATTCTAGTAAAATTAACCTGAATCCTGCGCCGAAGAAGAAAGGTGTTCTTGTTGCGTCTTCTGGAGCACTCTTTAGGCTATTTGGTAAGAGAATAATATATTATGTTTCTCATTATTAAAGTGGTGTGGTTGGACATTTCATATCGCACAAGTGTCCAACTGTAAGTAATGAAAGAAAGTTCACCAGAAAGTACTTATGAGCCGGCTCGATCCGATTAATACCACGGCCTCACAGAAAACTGGAGTGAAACAACCAAAGCGTTGTGGTTTACCGTGTGAGTGAGTTTACCAGAGACCTTATCCCCCATCCCCCCTCCATCCGCAATCCTCAAATAGGATAGGGGTATCCTTAAATCCCTAACAACCCCCAAGAAGCCGGCAACGCACTTGTGGTAACTCGTTTGGTATTACGAGTGTCCATGGGCAGCGCTGATTGCTTACCATCAGGTAATCCGTCTGCTCGTTTGCCGACGTATGACATAAAAAAACAATAACTAAATGGGTTGGGCATCCGGAGTTCTCTATACTAATGTATGCTTAATGCATTTTTGATCATTCTCTTTAGGAGTGCATACAGCGTCCCCCACCAGGAGATCCATTTTCGAGGAGCCGCCCAAGGTCGCTGAGGAAACATTCACCAAACGCACATTGTCTACTAGAGTCTCGTATCCGGTCTTCGACTTAGAATTCGCTTTTAGTTTTCAAGATGACAGCTGGCGATGGGGTAATATATATTTTTTACAATAGCAATACCTACTAGACTTAACACAAATGTTGCCAATCATAAAAGAAACTGTTTATTTATTTATTTAATTTTTACAAAATCGTAATATGACAATGTCGTTGTAGCCCGGAGGTGTAGGCACCCGCTTCACGCCACTTAGGGTCCTGGTTGGAAACCTGGCAAGTACCATTGTGACTTCCGAGTTATATGTATTTTCTATGATTATTAAGACACGACTGAGTGCTGCTGAGTGCGTACTTATAGGCTGATGATGATGATGATACAAAAACGTTGGTAGATAGTCAAAAGCCTGAACCATTATCTTTTACCATTATCTGGGTTATCTGAAATCGAGTGCGCTTGCACTCCACCATATAAGTTCCAGCTGCCCATTTGAAACTCGACCGAACCCATAAAGAAAATGGTCGCGTAGCCGTAGAAGTATTCCTATGGTCAAACGTCGTCCGCTTTCTTTCCAAAATTGTATTCGGGATTACAAAACTTGTTTTTTTTATTTTGGATCGGATACGGTTCGGACATAGTGCGGAAACCCGCTAACCAAACGCAACGTAGCTATATTATGACAACACTTTACGCTGGTAGACCGTTGGAGGGAAACTTAAGCAAGCAAATTTATCCAAACTTAACATTATAAATTCGAAAGTAACTCTGTCTGTCTGACTGCCTGTTTGTCTGTCTTCTCTTCACTTCACGCCTAAACTACTGAACCGATTTCTGTGAAATTAGGTACAGACGTAGTTTGGAACTCGAGAAAGGACATAGGATAGTTTTAATATATAGCTAAATATACTTAATGGCTGACTGTATATTTCCTCTTGATGTTAGATCACATTGCCATTTTTGAGGGCGGAGAAGAGGTCGGCCGTACAGACATGAACATCAGTGTGCCTTGGAATTACTCCTATTATTGTCCAGAACCCATAAGCATATTAAACAGAAGGGATGGAAGTTCTATAACCATAAATCAATACCAGGTAAGTTGTTGATAACTAAAAATCACCTCATTTCCTTAGCCAAGCGGGCCTTGCGGGGCAAGCGAAATAAAGATTTTCCCCTGACAAAAAAGACCATTCCTTCTCTACTTTGTGTTGGGCCGCGGTGTTGTATGTATGATTGAGTTTGAACCCGACACAATGGCCGTATATCTTTTAACAAATCATTAATGATCAATAAACTATAATAACCCTTTTCGCAAGTACTGAGAGAGCCGATTATGGGACCAAATAGAGACCTTTTTGATGACCCTGAACATGATTATTCATCTGACTAACAAGTTTGGAACTTGAAACAACTAACAAAACCTTTGGGGAGACAAAAACCTTTATCATATTCAATCAAATCGTCTGTCGTCGAGCCCGCTTCTCATGCATGAGGGTGTGGGTTCGAAACCTGGCTTTTGCCAGCTGGCAAACCAATGTGACTTTTTCCGAGTTATATGTACTTTCTATGATTATTTAGACACCACTGACATACGGTAAAGGTAAACATAGTGAGGAAACCTGGACTTATAATTTCTAATTGTAAGTTTGAAATCGCCAACCCGCATTGAGCAAGCGTGGTGATTAATGCTCAAACCTTCTCCGTGTGAGAAGAGGCCTTTGCTTAGCAGTAGGCACTTATAGGCTGATGATGATGATGATGAATCAAATCGCAGCTGGACAGCCAATCCCATTGGACACGAAAAACACGAGACTATATTTATGTTACCTCTTTGGCTACAATTTTTCACGTCAATCCATTACCAATTATTATAATCTTTTCTTGTCCATTGAATTTATTCTTTATCGTTTCAGCCCTCCTAACATAGCTGGTTTTCATTAGTTTTTTTAAACTAAAACTCTTCCTTCCACCAGATTCAACCACGCGAAATGTTTAGTCTTAAAAAGTATGAACGACAAGATGATGAACCTGAACCAGCTGAAACTGAAGCACCACCTGAAACTGAAGCTCCACCGCCACCAGCTCCTGATGCGCCAGCGGTTCCTGATGCGCCAGCGGTTCCTGATGCGCCAGCGGTTCCTGATGTGCCACCGGGTCCTGGAGCTCCAGGGGCACCAGATTCACCGGAGTCACCGGATCAAGATATGAACATAACGTTCAATAAAATGGTCCATTGTGGGCCATATTTCACTAGCACCATACTTAGTTCTCTAATGGTTGTATGTTTCTGTCTAAGTATCGCCATGTATGGTATTATAACTCTCTTCAATTGTGTGTCCAATAATCGGTTTGAAGATCCGAATAGTAAGCCATTGACCCATGATGTCTTGCATTGAAACTAATGCAAACCGCGGATATAGATCCAAATTGCTTCTCTTTTCGCAAAAATATATTTGTCAATTTTTTTTACTTTATACATAGGTAAGTACATATGCATTGCTGATGACACAGTATGTAGGTGGCGTTTTTCAGTATGCATTACATTCGTTCTAATTATTTTTATGATAAATAAATGACCTAGTAGGCTGTATATCTGAAGATCTAAAACCTTTTATTTACCTACCCTGACGTAGGTAATGGTGAATCACTTTTGAATTGGATTAGGTTCTCGGTCAAAAATAACTTCCTAAGATTTTAATACAATTAAACAACGTAACGTAGTAGTTACATACTCTTTGCAATTAAATATTAAAAAAATGTAGCAGGTACTTAATTGATTGATTCTAATTTTTAATTTTTTATTGGTTATGCTAGCTTTTGATTAAAGCCACTTTACGAGGAAGTGTGTTGAAAACTATATTTATCTAACCAAATACTTATACCTAGTTTATAAAATATCGTTCTTAGCGAATACGTTTCCATCCCTATCTCCATTTACATAGATGGTTGGCAGTCAAGAACTGTGCGATTTGCGCAAAACTTTCTGCCCCGCATAGCAAAACTTTGGAATGATCTTCCGGCGGCGGTATTTTCGAACCAATACGACATTCAAAGCGTCAAGTCTTCAAGAAACGAGCGTAATCATTTTTAATAGGCCGGCAACGCGCCTGTGACTCCTCTGCAGATGTCCATGGGCGGCGCTGATCACTTACCTCAGGTGACCTGTCTACTCGTTTGTCTCCTATTCCATAAAAATATAACACGGGTGAAATTTGTTGATAATGCTTTAGGTGAGTATTACCTAAACGTTACCCAAAGGCCTTTTGGACAAGAAAAATGGCGAGATGAAAACATCTCCATCAAATCTCTTCTTCTGTCCTAGGTGTGGGGCGAGAGGTAGTATCAGGATTTTACCGTCCAAAAACTTACACGGTCCTTCTGTTCTGGGCCGGTTTCTTGCTTCGGCCCGGTACATTACTGCGCTTGGCCTGAGCGTACGGCGCGTAGCGTTGAGAGCCAATAGACCACCAAGGGGTTGCGGGGCAAGCGTAATAAGGTACCGCAGCCTCGGCCTAGCGCAGGAGAAGGAACGGGGGTTTTTAGTCAGCAAGAGTCTGATTATCCCTCTCGCCTCACCCTGGGCGAGAGCAGTGATTTGATAATTTCCAAGAACCAGGCAGGCTCAAGTGGCAATGGGCCACGTCGCTCTAATGTCGGACGGCCGATGGGCCCTGATATCTAGTACTCGAGTGGCGACCCGTAGCGTGGGCAGGCCTCCAGCTAGGTGGACCGACGACATCTTCAGGGTCACGGGGAGCCAATGGATGCAGGTGGCAACTTGTCATTCGACGTTGAGGACTATAAGGCCTTTGTCCAGCAGTGGATGTCTTCCGGCTCATCATCATCATAATCATCAGCCTCAAACTGCTGAGCAAAGGCATCTTCTCACACGGAGAAGGTTTGAGCATTAATCACCACACTTGCTCAATGCGGGTTGGCGATTTCATACATATAATTAGAAATTTAGTCCAGGTTTCCTCACGATGTTTACCTCCACCGCATGCCAGTGGTGTCTAAATAATCATAGAAAGTACATTAACTCGGAAAAAGTCATATTGGTGCTTGCCATGTTTCGAACCCTCCGGGCCACCACGACTGATGATGATGAAAAACAACCCGTAATCCCGGCTGAACATCAGCTCTATTGGGCTCTAGGGTTCTAAGGGCTGTTTGAGTTAGTACGCTCGGGTTTTGTCATTCTGGTCGGGCGGCGAGCTACGCTTGCTCGCTGTCTGCAGGCTTACGATTGTCGGAGATCATTGCGCAATTAGTGATGTTTACCATCATACATCATCATCATCATCATCATCACCTGCTCATTTGCCATGCTATCACATAAAAAGGGGAGAAAAGATGAAATAAAAACCACTGAACAATTCTTAGCAATTTATTTGGTAAAGCTGAACTACCTCTACACAACAAAATATATCGAAATTGAAAAATATATATATAATGAAACAAAATTGGATAGTTAACGTTTATAGTAACACCAATTAGTCCCCATAGGGGTAGTACTTAGATTAGCTTATCGCCCTTTAAGTCTGTTACAAAATCAAAGAAAAATATTTGTGGATAGTAAGAAATTTTTCATAATTCACTGGCCGGGATTTCACCAAACAAAAATATAATAGAAATAATTCAATGTATGTATTCAATCATGTCGGCCTGTTTGTGTATCGTAATACTTATAACATAAATGCATTTTTCTCTTCAAAATATAACATTGGGACCTCAAAAACGAAAGATAAACATTTTAAAGGGCTTAATTCACGCAGGCAAAGCCGCGGGGAGAAGTCAGTAGTATTAAATTAATATAAGCAACCAATTTGGTTGATATTCCAAACTATAATATCACGATGGCTTCTGTGAAAACAATCGCAATGTTCGTTTTATAGATCTTTTCTCAAAAACTTCTGAACCGATTACGATGAAATCACTAGTAAATTAACGCCCGGTTCCTATAATTGAGAAACGATCCGTTTTAATTACGAATAGTAGTTTTATATACGGCTCGTAAGCTAAAACCGTTCCTATAATAAACGTCTCGTCGTGCAACTTACTGACGGTTTGCAACTAACGGATATCGATAAGCGAATTGTATGGAGATCTATTGTGTCTGTGGTTGTCCTATAAATATTTTAACCGTCAGTAGACGGTCAAGATTCGTAATGTCATTTGGTCGTAATGCGTATACAACGACGATTCGTTAATTATAGGAACCGGGCAATAGACCAGAACCTGAATTAGTTAACGAAGGAGATATATGGTACCTATTATTTTATAAACAAGCGCTGAGCAGTTGTTTTAAAATTCGTAAAACAGAACAAACTGTCTTAAACATATGACTTGCAGCTTGTTGAAAAGTTTTGCGACTAACACTAACTACGAGTTTCGGGGTACCACGAACAGTTTCGTGGCACCACGTACATTTTCGAGCATATTTTATGCAGACAGATGACCTGATTTTAAGCTATCGGCGCCGTCTACGGACATCTGACACACTAGAAAAAGACTGAGTAGGTCTTTTTGGGACCCAGCTAAAGGCATAGTGGGATGGCTACATTCATGTGTCTGATAGGAATAGATGAGGGGTATAAATGACGAAAACGCCAAAATAATAATTATTTTATAATTTAATTATTAAAAACAGGCTGCAAGTCACATTATTAACTACAAAGTAACCATTCAGCTCTTGTACACTAAATAACAAATTTATTTAATTCTAATATTACTAAATTTAATTATGGCTACGCTATGTGATGAAGAAAACGTACTGTTTCGCTTGCTCTTGGAAAATGAAACAGCTTAAAGTACATTTTCTATATTATGAAGGGATGAAAGACATTGTTACAATAAAACATATTTTACAAAAATATTGTATTATTTAAACAATGTCGGAGAAATACTACTTGACATACTTGATCCAATTCGAAAATATTTTTCTCAAATTTTATGAAGTCTGTTAAGTACTACGGGGCCCAGGGGTAGGCCACTTTTATGAGTACTTTACATCCTTTTGTCTGACCCAGGGAATGAACCAGACGCCTTGTTTACTTAGTTGAGGACCCCACTTGACTAACAAAACTTATGTTACATTCCAAATTCGAGTTTATAAATTGAATAAAAATCTTTTTGAATAGGATCAAAGTATGAAAAGAATTTTATCGATGGGACACTACTGAATAGGCACTGCCTAACATCAGAAATGTAAGGACAACAATATAATTCATATACATACACACATTAATTTTACAATAACAATTTCAAAACATATAATATTTTGTTGAAAGAACTCTCCACTTACAACTCTCGAAATAAAGAGTCATTCAACAAAATCTTACATTCTTAAAATTAACTTTTCTACCATTTTATTCTATCAAGCATACCGGTGAAGTAATTATGGTGCGATAATTGGCCAATGAGCGACGTTTATCACGTGATAATCGACCAATCAGAGCGATTCTGGCTTTGGTAAGAAAATTGCGCAAGTGTGTCTCTGACCACTGAATAATCATTCTCACACAAACATATTTTTCAAGTGTAAACATTATTATTTTAGCGAATATTTTAAAGAAAAAATCGGTCGGCCATACTGAAATATCGTTAACATACACAAAAGAAATATTTAGAAATATGTTAAAGAATTGAATGACCAACATAAAGCCAAAATCTTCAGAATAATTTTATTGAAATTGTGGATAAACATCGGCCATTATTATTTGATGAACAACCGAATTTTCTCAGTAACAATATAGTCTTTTCAGCGCATAAAAACCAACAATTTTCGAAGTAAAAATAAATAAAAACAATAAATTTCCTATACATTCTCAGATTAAAAGGGGCCATTCTGCAATATTGTAAATGCATTTTCTCTAAGATTCGTTTTTAAGCCGCAGTCGACGCGCGAAAATGCTTTTCGCAAATTCGTTATCGACATAACCAGATTCTAAAACTTATCCTGTACATTGGTTACTTTGGACCTCAGAATACAGAACAAACCAGAATCCGCGTTCACTCATAATTACATGTCTGTTACATGTTTCTGAGCTTTGGACTTGACTTTACCCTTTAAATCGCACCAAAATAATAGGTGCGCTAATGTTGTTTAACCTCTCGTCTGCCAAAACCAGTTTTTTCAGAATCTTGCAATGAATAACTACTTTTTCTTTTTTTTAATAACTCGGTTATATTATGTCAAATGACTTTTTTGAGTAGCCATGTTGGATGGATAAGTTTTAGTCTCTGGTTGGTTGTGACGTAATAACAATGTTGCCACGTAATTAAATTACTGCCTGTACACTATAGAGTCCTGTCCAATAAGATACCACTTAGTTCTTCTCCTCCTTCTTCTCCTGGCTCTGTTCGGTTTGTTGCGTCTGCTGTTGACCTTCACGTTCCGCTGCCATCTGTTGGGTGGAAAAGGAAATAATTATAATATATGATACTTTGCCTTATCATTTGATTTTTTGTTACTACTGAGTTCTATTCTGATGAAATTATTTTATACTAGCTACTCTCGCGCGGTTTCACCCGCTGCTCGGCTTCAACAGACCGTAGCGTGATGTTCTATAACCTAGCCTTACTCAATAAATGGTCTATTAAACGCAAAAAGATTTTTTCAATTCGAACCAGTAGTTCCTGAGATTAGCGCGTTCAAACAAACTACAGCTTTATAATCTTTATAATATAAAAATGGATCGCAAACTGTATTGTTAAGCGCATAACTCAACAATGCCTGGACCAATTTTGCTAATTCTTTTTTTGTTGGGTTTGTTATAGTCAGGAGAAAGTTCTTATAAAAAAAATATAAAAGTAAAGGGGAAGCTTAGGAAAGTGACCCTTTGATAGCGGGATAATTGGGCCCGTGCGAAGCGGGGGCGGGTCGCTTAGTAATACATAAAAATCAATGCCACCTTTCGTTGTAATGTTATAAACTCAACAATGCCTTTACCGATTTGACTAATTTTGGTCTTGAATTATTCGTGGGAGACCAGAGAAGGTTTGTACATAGAGAAAAGCAAAAAAAAATTGTAACATCGACATCCACGCGGGCGACCGCCAGTTATATATCTAATGTTTTATGTCAATTTTGTTTTGTCACATTTTTTAATTAATAATAAAGAGACAGACTACTGTAATGACTGACAGAGACTGCTACAATGTTCCTGAGCGCTATAGGCTATAAACATCACGCTACGATCAAATGGAGAAGCGAGTGAAACCGTGTGAGAGGAGTTAAATAAATAAACAATAAATTTACTCAATTGACCTATACTTTCACTTTATAGACGCAAAGTAGAAAGTTTTAACTCCCTATTTAGAGTAAATTATGAAGAAAAAACATATGTTGTAGGTCATATAACTGGCTCGCTAAAATATATGTTAACGAATCAGTCATAAAGTCTACTTTCATATAGCACACGTGCTTGACCGACTCGCTTTTAAGACAGCGAATAGGCTCAAATGTGTGCAAAATTTACTAGAATTTCGGTATTTCTTCTCAGAGTAGTCAGATAGGAAATGCCGGCTTCATCTAGTTCTTCACATATAATTTGACGTGTAAAAGTGCCGTTTTATGGCCTATTTGCAAAAAATATAAAAACAAAGAAAAAATAAAATGACCAAAACATAATCATAATGTAATTAAATTAATTGGGTAGTTTCCTAGGTCAAAAATAAATTAATTCGACGTTTTAATACAATAAAATATTGAAAAATAACTATACTTTTATTTATCAATCGATCGATACCCTAACACCCGGTTTCTGAAAGGCTCGTCAACGCTAAAATTAACTAATCTCCTGTTAAATCTCTTGTCAAGTCATCTGATTGGTTGTTGATAATTCAGTCAACCAATCAGATGACTAGACAAGAGATTAAATTGATTTTAACATTGATCGGCCTTTCGGCAACCAGGGGTTAGTTTTAGATATTTTGTAGCTAATTATTAAGAAATAAGTAAGCAATTTGACGCAAAAGTACTATGACGTCATAACTCAGTTTTTCATACAAATTTTATAGAAAAGTACCGTTTTTGACATTTGGATAGAAGTATTGAATTTGACTAGTTGGAAACTACCGTATTGTTAACACAATGAATGTGTGACTATATAGTAAGTAATTAGTGACACGTGATTGTACTTATGTGTATAAAAAAAGATATAGTCAAACAAAATCCTATACTCAACGCAATGCAATATTTAGTACAGTTTAAAAATAAGAGAGATTTTTCATTGGTTAGATAAAAGTTAGCTGGGGAATAATTATGATGCTGTCGCATCAGAATGTTTTTGTATAAGACAGACAGTGACAGCAACAGTTTTATTCCACAGATAACATTTATTTATTTAGTTTTTTAAACTTTAAAAATAAATATGTATACACATATGTACATTTCATTATTTAAGAGAAAAGTGTATGTACCTTCTTGTAGGCTTGTTCGAAGAGCTTGAGGCTAGCCTGCTGCAGCGTGGAGGTGGCTGTGCGGATCTCCTCGGGGTCGGCGCTCTCCTTCTTGGCGAGCAACTCACGGAGCTTCGCGATCTCGCCACGGAGCTTGTCACACTGTAGAGCAAACGATTATTGTTGTTTTACTGTTTTAACTTGCTTATATTCAGAGGTATTTTGAGCCTCGTTAGCCATCCATCACTTAAAAAAGACATTCTGAATAAGATAGTTATATTCGGTGCCACTGACTCGCACAGAGGTTCTACGTAAATTTTATTCCAGCGCCGTGGACTCGCCCGGGATGTCAACAAAAGGCCGCTATCCGTTTTACTAGCGTTGACGTCAACGTTGTGTTTGCGCCGCATTATCGCGTGGCAAACATTAACATCCGTGGGATAGCGGCGTATATATTATGCAGGAGAAATGAAGGCAGTATCCGAGATATCATTGTGAAAATCGTGGTAATGAAAGTGTTATAATCAGTAGAAACTTATCTCTCCTCATTATATTTCAAAGATTATTTATCTTTTTTAAAATTTATAAACATTACCCCACACTAAGATTCTCTCCTATGTCGTGGGTGCGTCTACAAACATACAATTTTACATACACAGCACGTCCAGACTCGAAACAACAATTTGTGGATCACACAAAGACTTGTTAAGTACGCGTTGAAGTGTGCAATCAAAATTTTTGTAACCTATAAGGAGAAATAAGTATTGTTTATCTGTTGAGGCACTACATACCTCGTCCTGGGGCAACTGGCTCTTGTACTCGTCCATCTTAGTTTCAGTGTCGTGAAGAACGCCCTCAGCCTGGTTGGAGACCTCGACTCGCTCGCGGCGCTGCTTGTCAGTGGCCGCAAACTGTTCCGCCGCCTTCACCATGTTCTCGATCTCGTCCTTCGATAGACCGCCCGATGATTGGATCACAACTGTACATAGAGACGGAATTTGTTATATAACAGTTTCCTTGGTATCTAAATAAGCTAGTGTAGCGAGCTATGGAAAGGGCTATGCTTGGAGTCTTTTTAAGAATTCGATCCGATAGAGAGCTAAAGTAGTCAACATAATCTCTCGAATCATTAGAGCTGTCTCTGGCCACTAGCCCGCCGCCCAACCAGACCCTAGCGTACGGCGCGTTACGTTTCGCGCGTGGCTGGCAGTGGTTGGATGAGAAGAGCTGAAGATCGAGCTCAGTGGCTTATGTCCAGCAGTGGACGGAATCAAACTGATTATGGTTATCTAAATAATATCTTGAAATTTTTGCATAGTTAGGGATGATAAGACACATTCTTCATTTCATGAGAAATTCACAGAGGAAAATAAACGGTTATAAATAGTAAACAATAATATTACAAGTACAGTGTTTTCAAAACATGTAATAGGGGCACTTCTATTACCAATATCTGGTTTTAACTATTACTGAAAATTTTAAACACGAAATATCCAGTTCCAGTAATTCTTTAAGCCGGGATCAAACCCGATTTTTGGGATATCCTTATAATTTAGGTAATAAAAAAAATATGTGCCGAGGTTTCTAGGAAAGCGGCGAGCACAAGTCCCGCCACTAGCTGGTACCGCGACTGCTCTCGCACCGCTGCAAAAGTGGCACGCGCATTGGCGCGGACACCGATCGGCGGTGCGTTCATTATTTTACCAATAAAAAATAATAGCTATGTATTCCTTAAAAGTAGTATGATTGTGTGCTGCTCCAAGACATATTTAATACTTTTGGGTAATAATTAATTACAGTTGCATCAAACCTGGGCTTACACAAGTTCTTCAAGAAATCGCCAGCCTGCCATACTCCCTTATTACAAAACAAGACTTATCCCTAGTCCAGGTTTAAGTCGGGTTTTGAATTTTGAATCTTATTGTCATCTACTTTCAATTTGAAATACAAAAACTGGCTCAATGGTTTAGTCCTAAAGTGAAACCTTGTTTTGTAATAAGGCCGATAGTGTTTAATATTAATACTCAAACCTTCTCCGTGTGAGAAGAGGCCTTTGCCAGCAGTAGGCACTTATAGGCTGATGATAATTAAAGGTAAAAAATCCTAAATAGAAAAAACCACAGAAAAATCAAAATATACATACTCTGTTGTTCTTTTCCGGTTCCCTTATCCCTGGCAGACACGTGTACGATGCCGTTAGCGTCAATATCGAATGTGACCTCAATCTGCGGGACTCCTCGGGGCGCGGGCGGAATGCCCACGAGTGAGAATTGTCCCAGGAGTTTGTTGTCGGCTGCCATTTCTCGCTCGCCTTGGTGTACTTTGATTTCGACTTGTGTTTGACCGTCAGCAGCTGTGGAAGGTTTTGTGATTTAGTTTTATGTTATAAGGAACTTTTTAAAGAAAAATATTGTATTTTATCTCGTCTGAATATAAATTTAAATAATCGACGCGCCGTCATAATTGACTTTATGCACAAAGTACATATGTAGGCTTAATGCCTACAGGCATTCTCGCTAGTTAACCTTTGGGTGTTGCAGTGAGAATAATTATGGTCTGAGCCAATAAAGTCAAAAATTGTAATACAAGTAATTAGCCAGTTACAAAGCATAATACAATAGATAAAATACTAACCTGTGGAGAAAACTTGACTCTTCTTTGTGGGGATCGTTGTATTTCTGGTGATTAGCTTGGTGAACACTCCTCCGAGGGTCTCAATACCGAGGGAAAGAGGAGTGACGTCGAGGAGCAAGATATCCGTGACGTCACCGGCGAGAACTCCTCCCTGGACAGCGGCGCCCACGGCGACGGCCTCGTCGGGGTTCACGGCGCGCGATGGAGCGCGACCGAAGATCTCTTGCACTGTTGATTGGACCTGGAGGGGATGGGGAGAAGATAAGTACTCTGGCAAGAGATTGTTTAGGATGAATTCGTTGAAAGATGACCGTCTATTGTACCTATACCTACACTTCTCACCCGACACTGTCAGCTTTATCCTTACATACATACCCCACTCTACCTACCCTACTGTACACTAGGCTACCTACCCTACCCTATTATTTGATTTATTTATTTATTTTAAAATATACAAAGATAAAAATTGAGATACGTACAATGGGGCGGTCTTATCGCTAAATGCAATTTCTTACAGACAACCTTTGGATAGAGTCATCGACTAAGATTCGGGAAATAGGGTCGTCAAGTGTTCAATATCTTATGCATAAATATTGATTCTCAGAATTAAAAATATATAACAACATAGCTCCCTTTTCCTATCCTAATATTAAGTTACTTACACCCAGTTTCTGAAAGGCTTGTCAATTCTTTGATCAACTAACACTGCGGTTAATTTGACATGACTGTCAAATCAATTTGAGTTTCTGAAACGTTGATCAAGGCATAATTAACTAATCTATGATTATTTTGATTTGACATGCGATTTATTTTTAGTCATAGCCACACTGCTCTTTTTTGTTCAATAGTTCATTCTTATCTGTCAAATATGTTAATATTAAAAAAAATTCGGACTGTCATTGATGTCAAACAATTCTGCGAAATTTAAATATCAAGTTACAATTTCAATAAAATGCTAACTAAACTTCCTTAAAATGGCATAACGAGGGAAGAATTTCATCGAAAGGGAAAGGCATCTTTTAGAACTAGTTCAGAAGTAAGTCAAAGTTTAAACATATATTTATTACCTATTGCGTTTTATAAACCTCTTGTTGTTAAAAAGTATTAAATATCTTTGTTTATACTTCACATCCTGCGCTGCAGCCAAGACTGATGTATAATACGCACAATGTTTTATTACAGATACAAGCACATAATTGATAATCAGTTCACAAATACTATATCTAGTACTAATAAAAATTAAGGTCGGGAAACCATAATGAATGAATTCAAAAGTAATGCAGAAGTGCCTTGAAGCCAAAAACAGTAATCACAGCCCATGGGAATTAAAAAGAACTACGAGACAGAATAAAAATGTAAGTTTTTGATCTTAAAATACTTTTTTAGTGCCCACACTAGCTAGTCACAATATTGTAACCGTTACCAGATTATGATATATTAAATACCTGTCCTGATTTCTTAACTAAGTACCTAATAATGTATTAAGAATAATTATTGCAACTTTAATGAAATTTATTTACAGGTAATTTAACTTGCACATCAAGAAAACAATTTAAACATAAGAGGCAGACACTCAGAAACAAAATAATAAGAAGTATAATGAAATGAAGATGGATTATGTAAATAAAAAAAGAAGTTATTAGAAGATCGGTTAACTATAAAACTGCATATATTTCGAAATAAAATAAGTTATTTGGTTACGAAATATACATTATTAGTATTTAATTTAAATATTGCTAGGTTACTATACTAACTAAATATGTATATATGTAAGTAAGATAATATACTTGTTTTTATATTTCAAGTGTTATATTTTTTATAAAGATTAATAATTAAATATATGAATAATATGGTTATTTCTTTGTATTCACCTAAAAATACAAACCATTAATATTACTTAACAATTAAAATGAGTCAACAACAAAGATGCAGAAGTGTTTTCATTTATCACTGAAAGAGCACCAATATCTTCTTGAACTATCCTTTTTTTTCTGAGGGGAAAATCATCAAATGACTTCTCCTGCCCAGGGTCGGCGGGAGGGAGTGTCAGACTCTTATTGACTAAAAACCCCCCTGTTCCTTCTTCTGCTCTGGGCCGAGGTCGCGGTGCCTCATTGCGCTTACCCCGCAACCCCGGCTGAACATCAGCCCTATGGGGCCCCGTCTGTGGTGGTCTATGGGCTCTTTGAGGCGCGCGCGGAACACTACGCGCCGTACGCTCGGGTCTGGTTCTGGTCGGGCGGCGAGCTACCCTTACTCGTCGTCCGCAGACCCGCGCTTACGGTGGCCGGAGATCATCTCTCGATCCCGGACGCCCGGAATGTCGCCTTTTGCGGCGGCTGGGGCGCGAGTGGGATAGTTCCCTCGCGCGCTCCGCCTCCTCCTTTGCGAGCATAACTGCTTCGCAGGAGGAGGAGATAACTTCCCAGTTCCTTTCGCTATAAACCATGGCCTCGATTAAGGCCGGGCGCGAGAGGTCGCCGCCGCCGATCACTTCCCTGAGTTCGCGGCGGTGTTCAGCCCAGACAGGGCATACCGCCACCGAATGCTCCACCATATCCTCTAGGTGGTCCTCACAATGACTACACTCGGGCATTTCCTTACGCTGGATCTGAAACAGGAACCTACCGAAGCTGCCGTGCCCGGTAAGCACCTGCGTCAGGCGGAAGGTGAGGACGCCGTGGCGTCTCTCAAGCCACTCCTCAAAGAGAGATCTTACCGCTGCTATTATAGCGTGCCCGGCCCTCGTTCTTGAAGTATCCTAAGATATACTTGAGAAATATCCTTTCCTGTTCCTGTACAGCTCAGCTCGCCCACCAGTAGACTGTATCTTTACATGTGTGCAGTCAAATGCCCCGATCACATTTGGAAAAGAGCTAATTTTGTAGAATTCTGTTTTAATCCTTGTGCAATCTTCATGTTTACAGGGCATAGTAATCGCTGCAGATTCTTTTGATATTATTCTACAAGCCGTAGATTTGTGCACTCTCAGCAACCGTAATTTGAAATGCTCATGTAGCATGGTAATAGCTTATTGTCAGTAGCACCTATTCCAAAACACTGATAGAATGGTTCCTCAAAGTGAACTGTTTAATATTCGGTTCTAATATGTTAACTAGTAATAGCACAAACGCCTTTGCCCGTTGGTTGGTACCGATTCTTACATTCCTCTTCATTGTAGAAATCAAACGGATTCATTCTGGTCTTAAATCTTTATCGCTGCTGGATGTGCTGATACTCATATTGCTACTATCCGAAAGAGATATTATCGTAATCTAAAACCAGAATCAATGTAAGTTAATCAAGATATTAAATAATTTACACTTACAAAGAAAATGATATTATTACAAATATAATTTCGTAATAAATATTTCTGTTTAACATACTTTAAAAAAAATATACTTATTTGAAGAGAAAATGTAGACTCACGTGAAAAATCAGTTGTATTCGTAAGTTAATTCGCCAACAAGCACCGATTAGTTGACCGAGCTTTTGACAGACGAATAATCTATGATCAAGGCTTGACCATCGTTTCAGAAACCCAAAATTGCGATAATCATTCGATTCTTAGGTTGATTTGACAGCCATGTTAACTGACATGATGGTCAAATTAGTTGATTAATCATGCTTTATGCAACCCAATTGACACTTGACAAGAGATTTAACAGGAGATTAGTTAATTTTAGCGTTGACAAGCCTTTCAGAAACCGGGCGTTAGCGTATTATAATCATGAAAACAAATGTCTGTGAGCGTATAACCCGACCGCGTATGAACACGGCCGGGGAATATAACCCCAGATTGCTCTGGCACCCGTCTGAAAGACTGCCTAGACAGCCATGGGGGACTGACATCGGCTTGTGCTATAAGTGCCATAAATATTACATCAATAATTCAGAACACTACGGTAAGTGAACTAGAAAGAATACATAAGGAGAATAAGTTTGATTAAGTAACTTCAAGAGACATTTAACAGTCAAACTTAAGAATTAGTTACGCGTTCAAAGTGACGTGAAAACTTTACTTGCGCGATGTAGAATTTGTATGGGAATACGAAGTTGCGATAAGCGCCATCTGTTAATTTAAGCTTGAACTACTTCATTTTTTTTAATAATTGACTAATCCCCGGTTTCCGAAGAGCCGATCAATGTTAAAATCAATTTAATCTCATGACAAGAGATTAGTTAATTTTAGCGTTAACAAGCCTTTCAGAAACCGGGTGTTAAATATTTATTACGTTTAATTCAAGATTGCTTTAGGAAATATTGAATTTAAATAAAACCAGCGTGAAAAAGACACAGTGTTGATCCACCGTGTGAGAGGTTACCGGAGGCCCAATCCTGGCCCTCCCTATATCCCTCCTTATCTCTAAATCCCCAGAACACTAATCTTAAAAAGTCAGCAACGCACTCTCCAGGTAGTTCTAGCGTTGCGTGTGATCATGGGCGGCGCCGATTGTTTACCATCAGATAATTTGCTGTCCTATCGCATAGAAAACTCAAAAACAGTGGTATTATAGTATATGCCAGCCCTTCTACATAAGATATTTTGTTCATTAGCAGATTTTTACACTAAACATTGGCACGTTTCCTTACCTTAGGCATACGGGTCATGCCTCCAACCAGCAACACCTCCCCAATGTCTGAGCGTTGGACCTCAGCATCCTGTAGAGCTCGCTGGCAGGGAGCCACAGTACGCTTGATCAGGTCACCCACCAGGGACTCCAGTTTTGAACGGGTCATCTGGAAGTAAAGGTATATTGGTGAATTTGCAGCAAATTTTAACAATTCCAATTTTTGGTCAGCCTTGATGTTTTATAGAAATCACATATTAAATATTCACAATTGATGATGACAGATTAATTCTGTAAATAAACTGGCAGTCAGCCATTATTTTGGTTCAAAATTAGAAAGTACTTGTGTATCTTTTACAATGCTTATTTGCATTGTCAGTATATATATGTGACCGTCATGTTGGAGACAATAAAGGATTAAATTTTACTAATCACACAGAATTGTTCAGAATATAACAAAACAAAAAGTATTTATTCGCGTTTGGGACGCATTAAAGACACAAAACGAACAAGATTATAAAAATGCACAAGGCATGGTAAAACAATATAACAAAAGTAGAGGTAGGTAGGAGAAAATATGCGTCCAAGCACGCGAAATGGCCCTCGCTCAGCATTATGCAGCGACCCCATACGAGGCAGTGTCGCGGCGCTGATTTTCAACGATGGCCGACACTAACGCATGACGCCAATCAGTGCAGAAACTTATATAACCTACATAATTGTTATAAAACAGTCAGACAAAGAAGCCACGGCTTCAAGCCTACAGCAAAACCATCACATTGAATTATTGTTATACATAAGTTTAGTCAACTTACCTTGAGGTTCATGTGTTTGGGTCCGGAACCGTCCATGGTGAGGTAAGGCAGGTTGATGTCGGTCTGAAGAGATCCTGAAAGCTCAATCTTAGCCTTCTCGGCAGCTTCCTTCAATCTCTGCATAGCCATCGCGTCCTTACGGATGTCTAAGCCTTGCTGTGGGGAGAAAATTAATATTAAATATTTTTTTCTTTGACGTAGTGTGGGTCTCATTAACCCGTTAGGTTAATGATTCCTCTGTTGTAAAACAGAGAAATTAAATATGATTTTTAGAATAAAAATATGTCCCGCGGTTTCTAGGAAAGCGGCGAGTACAAGTCCCGCCACTAGCTGGTACCGCGACTGCTCTCGCACCGCTGCAAAAGTGGCACGCGCATTGGCGCGGACACCGATCGGCGGTGCGTTGGAAGAAAAATGTAAAGAATATTAGGAATTTTAATTCTTAAATTATCTTCGGAGTGTTTTAGAGCCAAGCTTCGGCACGAAAGGGTCGGCTCGACCGGATTGGCACCACGGCCTCACAGAAAACTGGCGTGAAACAACCATAGCGTTGTGTTTCGCCGTGTGATTGCCTCAATCCTTCCCATCCTCTCAAGTCTCCCCTATCCTGAAATCTCCGAAACCCTAATCCCAAAAGGCCGGCAATGCACTCCAGCACCTCTGGTCTTACGGCTATGCATGGGCAGCTCCATTGCATAACATAAAAAAAACTTCAATTCCTATGTATACTATAGTCAAAAAACTTCATAATACTCACATCACGCTTGAATTCATCGACGAGGAAGTTGACGATCACGTTGTCAAAGTCCTCACCTCCGAGGAGGGTGTCTCCGTTGGTACTCTTCACTTCAAACACTCCCTTCTGGATCTCCAGCACTGAGATATCGAAGGTACCGCCTCCCAAGTCGTATACGGCAATGCTGGTGACAATATTTTATTATTAATATCTTTATTTTGCTAATATAAACTTTGATTGGGTTTGAGATTCGGTTTGTTGTGAATTTTTCTATACTAATATTATAAAGAGGTAAAATTTGTAAGTTTGTATGTAGGGGATATCTTGCGGTGCGGGTGTCCATAGGCCGCGCTGATTGCTTACCATCAGGTAATCCGTCTGATCGTTTGGCGATATATTACAGTAAAAAAAAATACAGAATCTGTCCGTTTCGTCATTTCTCTGCCAATGAGACAGTTTGACTTGCTGTAATTCAGAACTACCTTTCGTATATATTATTAATTTAAAGTATACATACATTTTATCATCAGTCTTGTCCATGCCGTAAGCGAGGGCGGCAGCGGTCGGTTCGTTGATCACTCTCAACACGTTCAAACCAGAAATTTGACCTGTACAACAAAGTTAAAATCATTTAGTCCCATTTAACCATAAATAGGTACTTTTGAAACGTCAAAATAGAATAGTAGTCTGTCAGTCTGTTCGTCAGTGAAGTCAGGTGTTAGTTCCAAATTGTAGATTCGAATGGATGAAGAACAAGCCAGAAACTCCATCGTTACTGTTTTTTAAATAAACTATTAAACAATTACGCTAATACATCATTTAGTACACATTATTGTGAGAACAATGCAGAGACAAGTTGTTAAAAAAAAAGAACAAATGATCTATAATTAAATTTTAAATCCTTTATCTTCTCGACCATGGCGCTCACATATGCGTACTGACAATAATATAAAAACATAAGAATAATTAAAACATTAGTCCAAATTGAACTGCTTCGGGGATCGAGCGACGATCTCCGGATTTTGCGTTCCGCCGCGCCTCGCAAAGCCAATCTATACTAATATTATAAAGGGGTAAATTTTGCAAGTTTGTATGTAGGGGGTAATCGTTGGAACAACTGGTCAGATTACCAAAATTCTTTCACTGATAGATATAGCTACAATGTTCCTGAGTGCTATAGGCTATAAAACATCACGCTGCGATCCGTAGGAGCCGAGCAGCGGGTGAAACCGAGCGAGTATAGCTAGTAGACCAATATATCGAATTGATTGAAGATTAATTACCTGCATCCTTGGTGGCCTGTCGCTGAGAGTCATTGAAGTAAGCTGGTACGGTGATGACTGCATTCTTCACTGAGGTGTTCAGGTATGCCTCGGCTGTCTCCTTCATCTTCATCAGTACGAATGCACCGATTTGCGATGGGGAGTATACTTTGCCGTCACTACCTGATTAGGGTAAAGAGAATAGTTCTTTAGTTTATATACGGTAGTAGTTCTGTTGAAAACTGTGACATTTATAACCTAAAAGTTATAATGAGAAAATAATGAAATACTTCCATAACTTTTCAATTGTAATTCTAGACACAATAGTTGCTCGAAAGCCGGCCTTCGCTTGGGGTTTGGTGAATAAAGAATTAAGGCAGATATATAATATGCATATTTAATTGTCGATGTATTCAATTTTTAAAAACAAATGTCCCGCGGTTTCTAGGAAAGCGGCGAGCACAAGCCCCGCCACTAGCTGGTACCGCGACTGCTCTCGCACCGCTGCAAAAGTGGCACGCGCATTGGCGTGGACACCGATCGGCGGTGCGTTGTACAAAAAATGTCAACTTTTTAACACAATTCTACAGAACATTTTTAATGTCCGATCATAATAATAATACGGTAGTTTACAACTAGTCAAATTAAATACTTTTATCTAAACGTCAAAAGCGATACTTTTATATGAAATTTGTATGAAAACTGAGTTATGACGTCATAGTTTATTAGCGGCAAATAGTTTACTTATTTTTAAAAATTAGCTAAAAATATCTAAAATTCAGTGTATCGATGGATCGATGATGAAAAGTATAGTTATTTTTCAATATTTTATTGTATTGAAACGTCGAATTAATTTATTTTTGACCTAGGAAACTACCCAATTATGGAAAACACATTTCCAAAGGCCATCTTAAATTTAGTCAGTAATGTAAAGATTTTCGCTCACCTTGCACCCAAGCGTCGCCATTGGACGCTCTGACGACCTTGTACGACAGATTCTTCATGTCTTTCTGGACCTCAGGGTCATCAAAGCGTCTTCCAATCAGCCTTTTGGTGGCGTAGAAGGTATTACCGCTGTTCGTGACCGCTTGGCGTTTGGCGGGCATACCGACGAGACGCTCGCCTTCTTTGCTGAAAGCGACGTGTGATGGCGTCGTGCGTGAACCTTCGCTGTTTTCAACCACCTAAGGGGAGAGAAATTTCTATGTCAATCGCTGATTCTATTAGGTAGAATAATTAAGATGTGTTTTTTTTTGAGGGGAAAATCATTAAATGACTTCTCCAGCCCAGGGTTGAGCGGGAGAGAGAATCTGACTAAAAATCCCCCAGTTCCTGCTCCTGCTTTGGGCTGAGGCCGCGGTGACTCATTGCGCTTACTCCGCAACCCCGGCTAAGATGTATGTATGTCCTTGTGTTGTAGAAACTTATTGAATATAAGTCAGCAGTGAGTACCTACTCTTAAGCTAAAAATTGTATGTTATAAACTATAATTTTCTATCTGTGGAAGAGCCATGTGTTGGGCCGGCTCGATTTGAATATTACTTACGGCCTTACAGTAAACCGGCGTTCTCACACGGAGAATTTTTTTTTTGGGCATTTTCCCTATGCTCGATCAATGGGAATGGCGCTTTCAAACATATTTAGAAACTCATCAATTCAGGCGAGGGTCTTAAGGAGCCGAGGGCGGTAATCATCAATACACACTTTTATGATACGACGTTCAACACACTTCTGAATAAAGAATACCTAAAAAAACCATTTCAAAATGTTTCGTAATGGCGGGAAAAATATTCAGTTTTTTTTTATCGAGAAGGAACGGGGTATTTAGTCAGCAAGAGTCTGACGTCTAACACTCTCTCTCGCCTTACCCTAGGCGGGAGAAGTCATTAGATGATTTTCCCCATTTATATCTCTTCACACTTGGACCATAATATACTATTAAACCTAAAATAAGTCCCCACTGTACTTTAAACCTTAATAAATTTACAATCAACAATCAAAGTCCTAACACTAACCTATAAAAAATATCTCACACATAGCGACAAAGATAAGGAAATTATCAAAAAATGTACGAAGAACGAGATAAGGGTTATGTAATAAAAAAATATGTCCCGCGGTTTCTAGGAAAGCGGCGAGCACAAGTCCCGCCACTAGCTGGTACCGCGACTGCTCTCGCACCGCTGCAAAAGTGGCACGCGCATTGGCGCGGACACCGATCGGCGGTGCGTTGATGAAAATTTTGTAAAACTTTAATTAAAACCTATCATACGGAGAAGGTTAGAGCATTAATCACCACGCTTGCTAAATGCGGGTTGGCGATTTCAAACTTATAATCAGAAATAATTAGAAACTGTAAGTCCAGGTTTCCTCACGATGTTTACCTTCACCGTATGTCAGTGGTGTCTAAATAATCATAGAAAGTACATATACCTCGGAAAAAGCCACATTGGCACTTGTCAGGTATCGAACCCTTAAGTATGCTTAAATCTGGGATCTGCATAAGTGTGGGAGAGCCATGCTTCGGCATGCATTCGGTTGTTGTTGTTATTTGTGTCGTGTGAGTGAGGTTACCGGAGGCCCAATCTCTCCCCACTCCCAAAATCTCCAAATACCTAATCCCCAAAAGGTCGGCAACGCACTCTTAGCATTGCATCCGTGCGAAACCGGATTGATTTGTTAGTCATGAAAATAAAGTTAATGTAAGTACATTTATTTCAACATCTAACGGCCATATTATTATCTGCGCAACTGTGACGTCACTGCGCAAATTCTTTACCACAGTCAGACGTCAGAGATTATGAAATACAAGTATGTGTTGTGTCAAAATTTGTTATTTAACCACTAAGTCTTTGTACTTAACACATTCAGTGCCCCCGACGCGTATGTGCGTGCGAGGAAACGCACATACGCGTCGGGGGCACTGAATGTGTTAAAGTGTATACATTTTTCTAATATTGTAAAAATCAAAATTTTTCTCAGGGTACTGTAGGATATTCACTGTAAATCGAATACTTATTTCCTTAAAATGTATCTAGGAAAATACCTACGAATAATGTAATAATAAATAAATATTCTTTCAACTAAAAGGAAAAAAATATTAAAAATTAGCATGCTGTCTTTTGAAATATCGCCTATCTGCCGCCCCCTTTCACAGAAGTCCAACTATCTTGCTAAAAACGAAAGGGTCACATTTTCCCTTTTACTTTCTAATTTTTTCTTTGATAAGAAGACCTAATAATTTATTATAATAAGCAACATTGGTCCAGACTTTGTTGAGCGCTTACCAACAATTTTTGCGATTAATCCAAACTTAATAATTATTATAAATGCGAAAGTAACTCTGTCTGTCTTTTCTTCACGCCTAAACTACTGAACCTATTTGTGTCAAATTTGGTACAGACATAGTTTGGAATTCGAGAAAGGACATAGGATAGTTTTTAAACCAAAAAATCTCCAGGAACTCGAACAAGTCGCGGGCAAAAGCTAGTTTTTATAGAAAGGTATATAATTTATTCATTAATTGATTATGAATGCTAAAATTAGCTATGTCTAGTCTGTCTTCTGCATGAAAGAACAAAGGGTGTAATGATATGTCATTTAAATAACGAATATAATAAAAACGCCATACAAGATTCCAAGTCATTTGAAGTTCAATTTTAAATACTCATCAATCAACTACAAATTCCTTAAAAATATTGTGAAAGTTCGTGTGTGTGACGCTAGCGGCGAAACCGCTAAACCGATTATGATGCAATAAGTCGTAAAAAACAGCTTTGTAAACTGAGAAAGACAAATTTTCTTTCGAAAATTACGTCTTCGTGTAACTAATCTAACTAATATTACAAATTCAAAGGTTATTTTTGTAAACTAGGAAATGGTAAAAAGGTGTATCCAGAGCAGGAGAAGGATCGGGGGGTTTTTAGTCAATAAGAGTCTGACACTCTCTCTCGCCTTACCCTGGCAGAAGTCATTGGATGATTTTCCCCTCACAAAAAAAGGTATCTTGAATATTGGAGATTGTAAAAGACTGAAACTGGTTTCCTGAGACCTCCATGCTATTAAGAAGTTTTTATTTATTTATTTCATTAGCAATGTATGAAGGTACGTTTTGAAGTCTGTAAACACCTTTTCCTTAAGGAGTTAGCAGTGATGTACATATGGCAGAGATGGTATGGAGTTGGATGTAACAGTTAGTTCTATCACTATGCTGTTAGCTATGGTTAGTCTTGGTATGAGACACCATGTTTGACAAAACATTTTTTCTATGAATTACTTAAAAAACTATAACAATCCTTTTTCCCCTTCCCCTACCACATCCCTAAATCTAAGAACTAACCAGTGTGATGTGGACCTTTTAGGGTTTGGGCCCTAAAAGGTCCACATCACACTAACTCCTTTACTGTTGCGAGAGTCCATGAGCGGCGCTTATTGCTTACCATCAGGTAATGACTCTCGTTTACAGACATATCACATGAAAAAACTTTAAATTATTACTGTGTGACGACTTCACAGAATAACTCAAGTCGTAGCCTTGAAGATAACGTAAATTTATTCATAAAACAGAATGAATGTCAGACTTATTGTACTTTTTCTTTGAGAATAAATACTGATAAAATGAATTACAATACCGTTAACGTATATTGGCGAGTCTGAAGTTAGCCGATTAGCTGAGCAGTACACAATTTTGTTCCTAGAAGATCCATTGCGCAGACAAACGGCTAACTTCAGACTCGCCAAGATACGGCGGCCGTACTGTACCATAGCCTCCCACCTTTGTTCTGAAGGTTTTTTATGTCATACGTCGGCAAACGAGCAGACGGATTACCTGATGGTAAGCAATCAGCGCCGCTCATGGACGATCGTAGTACCAAAGGAGTTACAAGTGTGTTGCCGACCTCTTGTGAGTTATTAGGGATATAAGGATAGGGGATTTGAGAGAGGGAGAATTGGGCCTCCCACAACCTCTCTCATATGACAAAACACAACGTAAGTGTTGCTTCACGCCGGTTTTCTGTGACACCGTTGTGTCACTCTGATCGAGCCGACCCATTTGTGCATGGCTCTCTCACACTAAGGTGCAGGCTTATAACATAAAGCAATGTAAGCTGATTGGTCAGATTAAAAACTGTGGTAGCATGGTGGATAGTGTAATAAGCTAAACTAAATAAATGTCCTGGTAAAGTGGCGTTAGTCAACTTTTTGTCCTGGTTTAAGAGAGGGGGCTGAAAACCTAGTAATAATGTGACCATTTCCCAATTATACATTATACTTTTTAAGTTTAGTTAGATACTATTGACATACAGCAAAGGTATGGAAACCTGTGATTTCATTTCTGGTGAATCCAATTACAAAAGTGTAGTGATTAATGCCCATCCCTTCTCCATATCACAAGAGGCCTTTGCTCAGCTGTGGTGTGGCCATTTATAGGCTGATGATGATGACAAATATATTAATTCTGTGTAAAGTATATTCTAGGCTTACCTTAGGCGTCTTTCCCTCCATGACTGCGACACAGGAGTTGGTGGTACCCAAGTCAATACCGATGACTGCACCACGGACTCCCTCTGACCTATGATCAGAAATCAAATATGAGGAGTTTAAGTTGCTGGTGCTATGATTTATATGGATTCCGCTTGAAGCAGGACTTTGGTACTTAGTTTGACACTCCCCCGCTTAGGAAAGCTGAAATAATGTAATCATTCTCCACCCTCAGAAAAGGGGTTTTAAATGTGAAATCAATATTTGTGATTGCTAGGGGTGGGAGAAATATTAGATGGATTGTTTGAAAACTCAGATAGGGGTAGGAAATGTGTTCTATACCATAATCAATATTTTAATAATTGTATGTCTTGAAAGTTATTTTTACTTATTTCTTTGACAGTTTTACACATCCTTTTGGTATTTTCGTGTAGAACAAGCCTAGAAACTGTTAGTAGTAACATATCATGCCAGGTAACAAGATTTTATCATACTATAAATATTAAAAGAATTCTTGATTTTTATATTTAAAATCTTCCATATTCCTGTGTGCTAACCTCACATTTTCACATTTTTTTACACATCAATGCAAATCTAATCCTGTAATTATCAAAATTCAAGTTCAATAACTTTTTATATCTTGAGAATTCCTTTATCACATGATTTTATCTTTTTTAAATTATTTAATTCCAGCAATACTAGGTCATTGGGCCATCTTTCAAATTAGTATTTGTGCTTAAACATGGTAGACCACAAGAGGTTAAACTATAAATTCCTATTGGAAACCTCTAGGAAGACCTGCTAATCTTAAAATGTGATCTTTTGTCTAGCATTATTAGGCTATACCCAAATGATCCATGAACCAAGTTTTTTAAATAAAGAACATGAAGTTCTAAGGGCAATTTCCACATTAATGCAGCAAGGAGGTCGAGGCATGTCGCCTGAACTCTTTAATTTACTATGCATACAAAGGTCAACTAAGATATGCAATAAGTTAGGTTATGATGAAATACCAAGAAAAATCAATAATCTATAACTTACTTGTTCCTGTACTGGACAGCATGTTGCTGGTAAATAGGCACAGTAGGGGCTGCGGTCTGAAAAGCACGATAGTAAGCCTAAATAATAACCTAGACATTTTAATGATCGGGTCCATGTGAACTCCGAACCGGCACAAATTATTGTAAGAAACATTAATAAATATTAAAAAATGCCGTAGGGAACTTGAAATTATTAAGTTTTTGACATTTTCAGACAATGTGACAAACGATTTTCATTCGTTTTCTAAATTAAAATGGTCACTCACGTTTCTGAGGATTGACGAGAAATTCCTTTGTGTGTATATGTCTGAACTAAAGCCGGAGCACTCCAAAGCCTTGCGGCTAATCACCCGCGTAGCGGTCAACATTTTTGCGACAGTATTATCAACTATTTAATTTATTTGCAGGCTTTATTTCACTTCAAACAGAACATGTGGGTGACGCAACTTCTTGAAAGAACGATTTTGACTTTTTTTTCTAGCACACCTCGAAGAATGAAACTTGCCAACATGAAAAATATAGATCGTGTGCCCTAGAATGTTCTCCTTTTTTCTTTACGAATGAAATGTTTTCATTGGCATACCACAATTCTTCCTTAAAGTTCATTGGCTTAAACGTATTGACGTCATATATTCCACCAATGGAATTCACAAAATATTACAACGGCTAGGTTGCCGCCGAAGAAAACTAAGCTGTTATGTAACCCACAAAAATTATAAAAAGAGTATCTAAGTTCAGCTTGTAAAATATACCTATATTCTGTGGCTAATAATGGAAGTAATTAAATTTACTTAAGCCTTAATATGGATATTTGTTCAGGTAACTTAATAATTTCTCATTGCTGTTATACCGCCATCTAGAACCACATGTCAAAATTTATTTGCCATAGTGTTTCTTTTGTGTCAAGAGATGGCGGTAAGTAGTGTGGTTTTGACGGCGTACCGCATGTAATATAGCTAACACCCCCTCTTTAGGGTAAGTATATAATATTATTAGCTTCGGTGCTAACACCGCACAGACAGAGTTTTACATAGGTGTCTAGGTATCCCTTGAATTAATAAAAGATGTTTAGAACGCTAACTAAGTGTGGGAGAGCCATGCTTCGGCACGAATGGGTCGGCTCGACCGGAGTGATACCACGGCTTCATAGAAAACCGGCGTGAAATAACCACAGCGTTGTGTTTCGCCGTGTGAGTGAGGTAACCGGAGGCCCAATCCTTCCCCTCCCCCAATCCCTAAATCTCCAAATCCCTAATCCCTAAAAGGTCGGTAACGCACTCGTAACTCCTCCGTTGCGAGTGTCCATGGGCGGCGCTGATTGCTTACCATCAGGTAATCCGTCTGCTCGTTTGCCGACCTACTACATAAAAAAAAACAAGTTCAACATTTTATTAAGGGTAAGATCTATAAGGGTAAGAACTCGCAAAGAAGTAAAAGAAAAATAATGTACTTATCCATTTAACGCTACGCCTTTAGCGTGCCTTTAATCTTGTTCGGGTAGAAATAAGTGTATATAAATAAGTAATATAGAATATATAAATTACATTTTCATTGTCTGGAACATAAACCTAGAAAAAAAGGTTTTTTTCTAGGTCCATGGTCTGGAAGTTATAAAATAAAATAAAAATAGCCTTTATTCAACCACAAAAACATGCTCACAACATTACAATTTATTGTATTCTAATCAGTATTTATTTCATTAGTTTAATTTATAATTTATATTTATTTATTCATTTCAAATATTACCTCTAAAATAGACAACTCATCTTTTGTCGCCTCTTTGGCGTAGGCTTCATCTCCATTATATTTTTTTTTAATTCTCGTGTCACGTTTTCTAGTTGCCTTACTCCTTCGAAACGACTTTACTGATTTTTACAAAATTTTATATGCATATTCAGTAGGTACCTAGGTCTGAGAATCTGCTTCTATTTTTCAGACTCTCAAGTGATAGACTTTCGAAATAATTTATACGCGAAAACAACGTTTGCCGATTTAGTTAAAAATAAATAAAATTTACGGTAGATGCCTATCATGGAATGAAAATAAATAACAAAACCTTTTCGAAAAATAACGATTTATTGTTTTAGGTATTATAGATGTCGATGGTAACGGTAAGTTTTAACATTAGATAATTTATTACTTACTAAGCAATATCTAAAATAGATAGATACTTACTCTAGATCTAGATAATACAAACATACTATAGGTACAAGGCGCCCCCCCGCCCCTATACAAAAATATCTACTATAGGTAGGTACAAGCCCCCTCTTTTCATCAAACCACTGTCTCGCTAACGAAGACTGGATAGCAAAATGCGTTTGTAAGCGTATAACTCAACAACGCCTAGACCAATTTTGACTAGATGTGAGGCATAAACATATTGGATTAAATAAGTTGATGAAGGGACTTTTCGTTCAGTGCCCGCACCAAATCGTGATGGAGTCTCACAAAATAAAATTAGTGAAATGTTTAAAATATATGATGTATCTATTGAGTAGGTAAATGTCAGTATTAGTTGTAAAATGCTAATACATTTTTGACAGTTTATTTTTTACCTATGGTGTTTGTTTTTATTGTCAAGAGAACTTGGTTTGGAGGATTGTTCTACAATACGGTAGTTTCCAACTAGTCAAATTCAATACTTTTATCCAATTGTCAAAAACAATAGGTACTTTTCTATGAAATTTGTATGTAGGTAACATTTGTATGTTATGACGTCATAGTATTTTTGCGTCAAATAGCTTACTTATTTCTTAATAATGAGCTAAAAAATATCTAAAATTTAGTGTAGGTATCGATCGATCGATGAATAAACGTATAGTTATTTATCGATATTTTATTGTGTTGAAATGTCGAAATAATTTATTTTGGACTTAGGAAACTACCCAATTTTAGAAGAGTGGAAGGGATATCGGAAAATAGCTAACCTTTCGATGCTAGCGGTTCGCTAACAGAACATATGATTGATACCCGCTAGAAGCAGGGTTTTAGTTTTGTTATAAGTGTAGGAAGAGCCATCTTAAATGTGGGAGAGCCATGTTTCGGCACGAATGGGTCGGCTCGATCGGAGTAAAACCTCAACCTCACAGGAAACCACCATATGAAACAACCACAACGTTGTATTTCGGCGTGTGAGTGAGGTTACCGGAGGCCCAATCCTTTGTCATCTCCTCCAATCCCCAAAAGGCTAATATAATAAACGCACTCGAAACTGTTCTGGGCTATCCACGGGCGGCGCCAATTGCTTTAGCATGAGTTATATTCGCCTGTTCATTTACCTTCATATCAAAAAAGGAACGGGCGGCTAGCTAAGTACTAAAAATCAATATACATAAATCATACACAATTTTCACTAATCTACTTACTTTCTTATTACTAGGTACTTAACAAAACACTATATTAAGACTTAGGTATCTAAAATCACAAGATGGACGAATAGGTACATATTTATAATAATTTATGAATACCTACACTTATAAGTATGTTAAATAATATTACACGATTAACCCCCGGTTTCCGAAAGTCCGATCAATGTTATCAATGTCAAGTCATCTGATTGGTTGACTGAATTATCAACAACCAATCAGATGACTTGACAAGAGATTTAACAGGAGATTAGTTAATTTTAGCGTTGACAAGCCTTTCAGAAACCGGGTGTAACTCTTTAAACAGGTATGTTGGTTGGAATAAATTACATTAGGTACAATAGATAAAAGTTTATTCCCGTTACTTTTCGACGGGTTAGCTCGATTAGTTTCAAGCCACGCCCGGGGCCTATAAAGTGGTAATTTACCACTAGAAATTCTATAATTTAATAAAATTGCCAAGAACGATTGTTTTTTATGAATTTTGTATGAAATCGCAAGGCATTATTATGACATAGTGTTTTTACATCGAATAGCTTACCTACCGACCTACAAATTCTTTCTGAAAAACTTGCTAATAAAATTAAACAGGCAGGTATAGGTATCGGCAATTCAATGAATCAAAGTAGGTCGATATACATACATATTTATATTTTGATAATTCATTGCATTGAAAAAATACCTACCAAATTGTTAAAATGTTTAATTTCTTCACTTCTTTTATAAAACTCTGTATTTTTTCTTATTATCTACTAATAAACATTACCATAAAATCACAAAATGGACGGACATAATTTATTTACTTAGGTACATAGAATTTATATATAGACAACTAAGATCCAACGTATTTAAAAACAAATTCGTTATGAAATAAATTTTAATTACATTTTCCCTTTGATAGAAATAAATAATATAACAATCAAGTTACATTCACGTAGCAATTCGACGGGTTAACACGATTAGTTTCAAGCTTAACCTGGGACCTATAAATCGTCGTGCCGTCAACTGACAAGTTACGTAAATAAGTAGCTTACACACTAAGATAAATATACAGTATATAATTGTCTACCATATTGCACAATAGTCCTTCATCAACCGGGGATTATCCTTGGGTGCACTTTTTGTAGTGCACTAGCTTTTGCCCGCGACTTCGTTCGCGTGGACTTCAGGTTCGTCCCGTCTAGTCTAGTCTAGTAATAAGTAAGAAATACGGTAACTAAGCACTGCAGAGCCCTACTATAGGTAGCTACTGCAGTATGCTCCTATAAACTACACTTAACGATCTTTTTCCTTCAGCATAAACATGCAGATTCTTCGCTTTGGAAACGTAAGCGCAAAAAATGTGTTTTTTTACGACCTTACATTAGAAACCTCAAAAATGGTAGCCTATGTGTTATTCTGATGTATAAGCTATATTGTGGTAAAGTTTCATTCAAATCCATTCAGTAGTTTTTACGTGAAAGAGTAACAAACATACAAACTTTCGCCTTTATAATAGTAGTAGGATAGTTAATAGGATACAGGGATAATTGCCGGCTGATGTCCCATCACATTTAGATTAAAACTGTTCAACGGGCCTCTGCGAGTTGGCTTCGGCTCCTCGTTCGCCTTCCAAATATCAGGGACCATATTGTGGTCCCGTGAATGGAAGTGAACATACAAAATACTTAATCTTTATTACTATTTTTAAATATGTTATCTCACATAATATCACGTAGCTAATAGAACCGACTAAATAATTGTAAAACTGACTGAAAAAGAGTAACCATGGAGTTTCTTGCTCGTTCTTCTCCATTGGAATCTACAATTTGGAACGAGCAAATAGCTTCACTAGAGGCCTGGTCGACAGACTGACACATATAAAGTTGAACTTCAAAGTGCCTATAGTGGTGTATTTGATATAAATGACTTTGACTTTGGTTGCTTAATCAGGAGTGGTGGAAGAAGGTGCTGGTGCCTCGTCCCTGGCTGCTAGCAAAGAACGAAGGGCCAGGGTCTCTTGTCTCAGAGCCGCTACATGAGCTCGAAGGGATGCATTCTCTTGCTCCAGAAGACAGGCGCGCCATGCTATCTAGGGGAGAAATAAAGGACACTGATTTTACCCTAAAAAATTTGAATTCGGAATTGGAGTACGTTAATATTTAATGAAAGTTTTTTTTTTAAATTTAGAGTCCAAAGAACATGTGAGACGGTTTACGTGGCACTGATTTCCGTATTTAAAATACAAATAAAAAATCTTGGAAACCACGAACCGACTATAATGGAAATGAGTACTTATCGGCCAACTAATAATATTAGAAAAACATGCTTCTCGGGTTGGCAGACATGCCTAATCCGAATGGGTTGCCAACTCAGCAAAAACTGGGCACAATAAGCACCCAACACTGATTTTCAGTTGGCACCCCTGCAGTGACACACGGACGAAAGCAACGCATACTAGTACTTAAGTAGAATTACAATCTGTATTATACTAAGTATTTCTGCGGAATTTCTCGTCTTTTAAGTAACTCCAAAGTTTCTTTAAAATCGGTTCAGTAGTTTTCAAGATTATGTATTTAGAAGAATGTGTGCCAAATGCCGCGTTTACGCCCATAATTCAGACTTTGAGTTTAGCCAGAAGTGGAATAGACCTGATCTTTTCCTGTGATAAATGTGAAATGAACGAAACTTTCTTTGGGTAGTTGTTAGATTTTAGGACTATCTACCTACTAATCAATTTCCATCTCTTACAAAATACCTGGTCTTCTCGAATCCGTCTCGCGTCTCTGGACTTCTTAGCAGCCTGATTGTTGCGTCGTCTTCTCTCGAAGTATTTCTCGTCTTTTAATTCAGGTGGAATCGGTCTTTTTTCGCCGCGCCGCCGGATTTCCATTTCCGTTGTTGGGGATGGGAGTACTGAAGATCAGATGGATAGATTTCAGATGTGAATGAGATAATTAATGAATACTAAATTAATTAATCTAGTTAGGCATTGAAATGCCCAATTGCCTTCTTCAGTAGAGTCATAAATGTATTTCATATGGTTTCTTAGTAAAGGTTTTTTTTATGTGATGGGTGGAATGCACAGAATGATATACCTGATGATAGACCTAACGTCGTGGTGGCCCGGAGGTTAAGGAGCCCGCTTCTCATGCATGAGGGTGTGGGTTCGAATCTACCTACTTTCTATGATTATTTAGACACCACTAACATACGGTGAAGGTAAACATCGTGAGGAAACCTGGACTTAATTCTAATTATAAGTTTTAAATCGCCAACCCGCATTGAGCAAGCGTGGTGATTAATGCTCTAACTTTCTCCGTATGAGAAGAGGCCTTTGCTCAGCAGTGGGCACTTATAGGCTGATGATGATGGACCTGATGGTAAGTGAGAAATACAGCCCATGGACACCAGTAACATTAGAAGGTTTAATATCAGACTTTTAAGCCTTAATTAAAGATCAGTAATAAGACCTGACTATGACTACATAAGTCATGTATAACAGAAAGGTGTGTGGTGGTGGTGTTCAAGTGTGGGAGAGCCAAGCTTCGGCGCAGATGGGTCGGCTTGACCAGAGGGATACCACAGCTTTGTGTTTCGCCGTGTGAGTGAGGTTACCGGAGGCCCAATCTTCCCCCTCCCCCGATCCCTCCCCAATCCCTTACTCTCCAAAACCCTTATCCTTAAAAGGTCTTACGAGTGTCCATGGTAGCCGATTGCTTACCATCAGGTATTCCGTCTCGTTTGTTGGCCTATGATATAAAAAATACCTACGCGTAGTGTTCCTAGGAGACAGATGGTGGCAGTAAGGTGGTAGGCAATGAAGCTGTGGAGGTAACGCTGCTAGCAAAGGACTAACAACGTTGTGGACATCTGAAAGAAAAAAAACAAAGGCACAGATTAGCCACAGTTTTAAGTATCACCGATAAAAGGAGGCGCTATGCCTTATATTTGAGGGAGGTTAACCCACAGTTGGGTAGTTTCCTAGGTCAAAAATAAATTAATTCGACGTTTCAATACAATAAAATACTGAATAATAACTATACTTTTATTCATCGATCGATCGATACACTAAGTTTTAGATATTTTTTAGCTAATTATTAAGAAATAAGTACCTAATCTATTTGACGCAAAAATGTCATGACGTCATAACTCAGTTTTTCATACAAATTTCATAGAGAACTATCGTTTTTGACGTTTGGATAAAAGTATTGAATTTGACTAGTTGGAAACTGCCGTGTTCTAAGTATCGCGGATAAATGGAGGTGGTGTGCCAAATATCGTAAGAAGTCTTCTTACGAACTGGGTGGGGCGAGAGAATGTCAATCTCTTAAGCGCAGGCCACACCGCCATCTAGCGGGCGGGCGGGCTAGGCGGATGGGCGAAGCGAACGAAGGGAACTATACAAACTACGCGAAATATTGGCGAGCTAAACTATGGGGTTCACACCAAAAACAAAACACTACACTGCTATTCGAAAGACAAGCGTCAACTAGTCTACTCGAAACGGGGAGGACGGGCGAACGAACCGGGAGCGCCAACGAGGTGAACGAGTAGCTTCGCTGGAATCGTCGGATATTTCGTTAGCTTAGCTCGTTAGGTTAGTCGGTAGCTCGCGGTGTAAACCGAAGTATGCAAAGAGGTGAAACGATGTTCGCCCGCCTAGCCCCCCCGCCCGCTAGCTGGTGGTGTGTCCTGTGCTTTACTGACTAAAAACCACCCCGTTCCTTCTCCTGCTAAAGACCGGAGCTGTGGTATATTATTAACCACAGCGCTACCAAAATGTTTCTTCACTTAAATTGAATCAATCTTTATTTTTTTAGAGTGCACGGTTGGCGCGGTGGCTGGGACTGGCTGTCGTGCAACGTGTCGCGGACGGAACAGCTCTTTCTGCGATCCAAAAATTGTTGTTCCGTGTCTGGGTGTGATGTGTATGTGAAATTGAATGTTTGTAAACGCATCCACGACACAGGAGAAAATCCTAGTACCTACTTATGGGGTGTCCAAAAAAACAAAAAATAGTGTGTAACTTATATTTTTCGCACATTTTTAAACTGTGCCTCAATTTCTATATACCATTACATACAAATTAAGACACAAATGTGTTTAAAACAATGCCATTTCAATCTGTGACTTAGATTTAACACCTAATCGTTACCTAAACAATAAAGTCAAAGTCAAAGTCAAAATCATTTATTCCAACTAAACCATAAATAGGTACTTTGAAACGTCAAAATAGAGAAGTAGTCTGTCAGTCTGTTCGTCAGTAAAGCTAGGTGCTCATTCCAAATTGTAGATTCGAATGGAGAAGAGCGAGCAAGAAACTCTATCGTTACTCTTTTAAAAAAAATATTGTCTTACAAATTCAATAATATAACATTTAGTATACATTTTTTTTTTTTTATTTAAATAGGTCGGCTAACGAGCAGACGGATAACCTGATGGTAAGCAATCAGCACCGCCCATGGACACTCGCAACGGAGGAGTTACGAGTACGTTGCCGACCTTTTAGGGATTAGGGATTTGGAAATTTAGGGATTTAGGAGGGATTGGGGGAGGGGAAGGATTGGATACATTATTGTACCCTTATGTTAGAACAATGCAGAGACAAGTTATAAAAAAAAGAACAAATATTTATCGTCCATTTAACCTCCTGAAACACGCGTCCCCTCGACGCATCCTGCTTTATTATTTAACACAAATTAGTCTGTCGGTAATTTTCCCGTGTTCCCCTAAACATGGGACGTGTTGCATTTGAACGGTGACACGCGTGGTCACCCTACAACTAGCGATCATTATCATTTGTAATGCTGATCAAATATTTGTGATTAACCAACTGTGAAGTAGGTATTGATATTGATATTTTGTTTGTTTTCTTTTAAGAATTCTTAAAAAAGGGATTAGGTATTAGTTAATGAGTGGAAGGTCACTACTCGCTACGTCAGCGGCCTTTGTCAAGGCCATGATGGAGATCGTGAAGAACATTCTGCAAGGCAGTGATTGCAAAGAACGTGGCCAAGCTATCTTCCTCACGCCACTTAGACACTTCGGGTTTCCGAAGACCCTCATAAACAAATCCCTAGTTTGTCGAATCCTTAAATCCCTGACCCCTAAAAACTGGCAACAATCTTGCATGAAAACGATGAGCTACCTATATGTATGTATATAGGATCTTTGGATAATTAACTATCAGGGAAAAAATCTTAAGTACATAGATACCAATGATTAGATTGATTAGGCCCGTGATTGAAACCAGGCTTGTGCCAATGTGATTTTTTCTGACTTATTTTATGTATATTATATACCTAGTTATATTATGTCATTCCTAAGACACCGCTTGTATATCAACACCATCTGGTACGATGTAGGAAAACATCGTGAGAAAGCCTGCATTGAAGTATGAGATGACGTTAAAAGTGGATTTCTATAATGTAACTTCCCCGTCATTTGGACGCTCACTTCACACTCGAACAAAATTCTAAACCAAACAAAGACGTGTTTGACTAATAATGTGTAACTATAAGTTTGAAATCGCCAACACGAATTGAACAAGCGCGGGGTTATTTATTTCTTCACCGTTTGAAAAGAGGGCCTTTACCTTCATAGGCCAATGAATTGGCAGTGACGGGATTTCACTGGAGTTTGCCTGCCTTAGTTTGCCTTTAAGTACTTGCATAGGGGGTAATCCTTGGAACCGCTGGTCGGATTGCCAAAATTCTTTCACATTGATATATGTTCCTGATCGCTATAGTATATAAAACATCACGCTACGATCAAATGGAGCCGAGCAGCGGGTGATAAACCGCGCGAGAGTAGCTTATTACATATACATATATATGATATATGTATACCTATATGTAAATACAGATTGCTAAGTAAGTAGTAAGTAAGTAAGTAAGTAAGTAAGTACTCGGTCTGAAGGACATGACGAAATCAATACAAAAATAATAAAAACCTGTTGTAATGAATTAGTTGTAATTTTAACTCACTTAATTAATGTATCATTTATACAAGGGATCTTTCCAGAAATATTAAAATTATCTGTAATTAAGCCGCTTTTCAAAAAAGGAGACAAATCTGATCTAAATAACTACCGCCCAATAACTTTAATACCCATTTTATCTAAAATTTATGAAAAGTGCATGTATAAAAGATTAATCGATTTCTGCAACAAATTTCATATCTTGAGCGAGGAACAATTTGGATTTCAAAAACACAAATCGACAACATTAGCAAGTTTCTCTTTAATTCAAGCAATAGTATCGAGTATAAATAATAGTCATCTTACTACAGGTCTTTTTTTCGATCTATCCAAAGCCTTCGATCTAGTTTCGCATAATATACTGCTGCAAAAGTTAGAGGCAATTGGGATTAGGGGACCGACACTTCACCGGTTATCATCATATTTGAGTAATAGACAACAATGTGTCATTATCAATAGAGTGAATGAAAATAAAGATATAGTGCCCTATCAGTCCGAATATAAGTGCAATAAATATGGCGTCCCACAAGGAAGCATACTAGGCCCGATATTGTTTCTCATATATATAAATGATATTACTATGCCATTACTACCATTTAAGAATGCTGGTTACCTGTAATTGGCGACTGTATAAGGCCAAAACCTAATATTTCATTGTTTTATTTAATTTGCTATATACAGAAGCTGTTGGTGTACCTTTATTAAATAAATAAATAAATAAATAAATAAATTACTACAATAACTAACCATAAATGTGTGTTGTTTGCTGATGATATTTCTATCATAGTTACCACTGAAAAAAAATATTATACAGTCAAAGATCATGAATTAGACATTAATAATACTATAAATAAATTATTGCAATGGCTTGATACAAACTGCTTAAAAATTAATTTAGATAAATCGGTTTATATACAATTTAATAAATCTAATAATAACAAATATAACATTAATCTTAATATAAATAAAATAAAACAGGTGACACATACAAAGTTTTTAGGGATAACAATAGATGAAGATATCAACTGGAAAGTACACGTAGATAACATTAACACTAAAATAAATAAATTTGTGTATGCATTAAGACAAGTTAAGAATGTAACAAACGTTAAAACAGCTATTAATTCATACCACGCTTATGTAGAATCATTACTCCGCTACGGGTTGATATTGTGGGGTAATAGCACGGATGCCAATAGAGCTTTTGTTGCCCAAAAAAAGTGCATTCGATCTATATATGGACTTCAAAGTGACGATTCTTGTGAACCGGTATTTAAAGAACTTGGTTTGTTGCCATTACCGTCTCTTTATATATTTGAAATATGCATGTTCGTAGTCAAACATAAAAACTTATTTAAGATGGCAGCTATGGTAAATCCGAGAAACAGACGGGACCCACATAGGCTGGTTCTGAATGACTTTCCGAGACTTACTAAGTACAATAAAAGCTGTTTGGCGATGTGTGTGCGAATTTTCAATAAGTTACCATGTCAATTAAAAGAAATAAATAAAAATTTATTTAAGTCTGAATTGTATAAGCTTTTAAATAAATGTAACTTCTATAGTTTAAAACAATTCATGGAGCATAAGTTTTAATATGTTAGGGTTATTATTAAGTTACTTATATTAATTTACTTAATTTTTAAATTTTGCATGCTTTTTTAGTGAAACACGATTGTACTTTTCATTATTCTATACCGTGTTTTATGCAAATAAATTATATACTTACTTACTTACTTACTTACTTACCTGTAACCGGCTGATCTAGACAACGTCTTTGTTATATTACATTTAACAGTAGGTACCTATAATTCTTATGGCTGATGTAATGATGAGAGCTAGCCATTTCTTAAATAAATGACACTAATCACTGTCAAAAAACAATATTTTTTTTTACGGTGGATTATAGGTACGGGCCGCTCCTGAAAATTTTCACGGTTGGTTTTTCGGACTAACTGGATCACGGTTAATTTTAAGTAAAGAAAGAGCCATGCTTCAGCATGAATGAATCTGCCCGACCACAGTAATACCACGGCCTTACAGAAAATCGCCGTGAAACAACCACAGCGTTTTGATTCTACCGGTGAGGCTACCGGAGGCCCAATCCTTCCTGTCTTTTCCAATCCCAAATTCTCGAAAACCTTAATCCCTAAAAGGCCTGGCAACGCACTCGTAACTCCATTAATGTTGAAGGTTTCCATAGGCAGCGCCCATTGCCAACCACCAAGTAATCCGTCTGCTCGTTTGTCGAAGTTTGAAGTCAGAATTTTTGGTTTTATATTATTTTGTGTGTGATTATAACGAAGTGTTCATGTGGCTAATTGTCCTGACCCCACGAACTGATGGGGAGTTTATTAATCTACACCGCTGCACCTGCCACCGTGGGTGTAAGCGCACCTGTTATAAATAACCTTATTGTTAAAAAGGGGTTGTGACCATCATCGCAATTAGCTGTGTCAATAAATAAATTATTGTGTATTTTTTTTTTACTTTATTTATAACCAAAATACGTGGCGGGCGGAGGTTAAGTACCAACGTGACTAGGACATTTCTTGAAATCTGTCTGTAAATATTTCTAGAACGCCATGGCGGATCTTACATAATATGTTCCGGAGTTCGGATCGCAAGTATTCTTTTTAACCGACTCCAAAAAAGGAGGAGGTTCTCAATTCGACGCGTATTTTTTTTTTTTATGTTTGTACACCGATTACTCGAAGACTCCTGGACCGATTTGCAAAATTCTTTTTTTATTCGATAGGGTATACTTGCCATTTGGTTCCATTGTCATGAAGTCAGGATCTGATGATGGAATCCTGGAGAAACCAAGGGGAACTTTCGAAAATTGTAGGGGCGAGTAGGGTTTTTGTATGATGTTTAAGTAGGCCTTTAACAACACTACAACTTGACGAAGGTCGAAGTCGACCAGATGTTGGAGCTGGAAGACAGTCGAGGGATCTCCTTGACTATTTGTAGTAATTGCCTTGTGTTTGGGCTTGAATGATTCGTATTGGCGAGCACTTTGCAGCAGGCTTGGTCGTAACTGTCATTAAGGGTCTGATGATGAGAACGAAGGACAGCTTAGGGAACTCCTGAACGGTTTACAGTAACTACTTCGTGTTTGAACTTCATTCATTTATATTGATGAAAACTTTGTACCTGTAGGTATGTATCATAACAACTGAAGGTCTGCAGTTTACCTGATGATGGAGGCCATTGACCGTCGAGGGGATTCCGGATGGAAACGAGAGATATTCGAGAGAACTTCTCAACGATTCATAGCAGCTTCCTTGTGTTTGAGCTTAATTTATTCGTTTTAATAAGAACTTTACACCTTGATGGATTGTGACTGTCATTAGGGATCTGATGATGAAGACGAACGACAGTCTAGGGAACTTCTCAACGGTTTACAGTAGCTACCTCGTGTTTGGACTTAATTTATTTATATTGTTAAGAACTTTCCCTCTCCTAGAGAGATGGCCTGTGTCCCAGTAGTGGGAACATTAAAATGGCTGATGATGATGATGATGATGATGATGATGATGATGATGAGAACTTTTCCATTTCTTGGGATCTATATTTTTTAATCGAGCGGCTCCTTTCGTTGGCCTACACATAGCTACTTAAAAATATATACTATTCAATATGTTAATTTATATTTAAAATGTTACTGTAGTTTACAGAAGAACTTGCAACAGACACAAAAAAGAAAAAAATAAAAAAAACTACGTTTAAAAAAACCGACTTCAAAAACAAAAAAGTGTCAAATAAGTAATTAAAATTGATATTTTAATAGCACTCTTACGTACGCGAAGCTAATACTTTTAATATTAATAATAAAACACTATCAATTCTATGTGCTACCTATTCATAGGTTTGAAGTCGGTGCCAAGCCCTAAACAGAATAAAACTAAATGAGAATTAAGACTGTTTAACTGCTAAAAGACGAAATTTCCACAACTAACAACGCAGCTACCTACTACTACTTTTAACAACCAAGTACGAGAAAACTTTCAGAATTCATAATTCATCCAAATATCTTTCTAAGCTATATACAGTTTCGCCGGTAACGAAACCATATAGACTTCTGATTCTACGCTAACGCCATCAAGTTAGAAAATCGGTACTAAATTTCTTAAATCCTAACAAATAAATTCCGGCGAGTTTAGGTACTGTAGGTATGTAATGATGCTTATTATATTATGTATTAGGCTTGGCACCGACTTCAAACCTATGAATAGGCAGCACATAGAATTGATAGTGTTTTATTATTAATATTAAAAGTATTAGCTTCGCGTACGTAAGAGTGCTATTAAAATATCAATTTTAATTACTTATTTGACACTTTTTTGTTTTTGAAGTCGCTTTTTTTATTTTTTATGTAATTGGTCGGCAAACGAGCAGACGGATTACCTGATGGTAAGCAATCAGCGCCGCCCATGGACACCCGCAACGGAGGAGTTACGAGTGCGTTGCCGACCTTTTAGGGATCAGGGATTTGGAGATTTAGGGATTGAGGACGGATTGGGGAAGGGGAAGGATTGGGCCTCCGGTAACCTCACTCACACGGCGAAACACAACGCTGTGGTTGTTCTACGCCGGTTTTCTGTGAGGCCGTGGTATCACTCCGGTCGAGCCGACCTATTCGTGCCGAAGCATGGCTCTCCCACACCTCAAATATTCTGTTGGTGAACAGTAGAATGCACATCATCATCAGCCTATAAGTGTTAAGGCACCCGTTAGGTTAGATATATGTAGGTACTTTCAATGATTAATTGGACACCACTGACCTTATGTGCAGGAAAACATAGTGAGGAAACCTGGACTATTAATTTCGAATTTTACGTTTGAAATCGCCAGTCTTGGGCAAGCGTGGTGATTGATGCTCAAACCTTCTTCGTACGAGAAGAGGCCTTTGCTCAGCAGTAAGCACTTATAGGCTGATGATGATAATAACAATGTTTTTGATTTTTATGGCATACTTAGAGGATATTATAATACCAATTCAAATAAAAATTCTTTATTTGCATATTAAGGTTATTTGGGTCCGTTCAAATTAAAATTCATTGTTTGCCTGTCAATGTAGGTATAAGGAGCTTAAATTAAAATAACAGGCACAGCCTTTTTCAGGCGTTGCAAAGAGGGCTTTTACTAGCTTATAAAACAATATTTAATTACTTAATTCACATCACATTACCTAGATTACATGATGGTAAGCAATGAGCGCCGCCCATGGACAACTCCAAGACTAGAGGAGTTCCGGGTGTGTTCTGACCTTTTATGGATTAGAGATTTTGGGATTGGGGCGGAAAAAAAACAAACGAGGTAGTGAAAAACAAAACAATTGGGTAGCTACCTAGATTAAAAATAAATTACCCGATGTTTTAATGCAATAAAATATTGAAAAATAACTATACTTTTATTCATCGATCGATCGATACACTAAGTTTTCGTTTTTTTTTAGCTAATTATTAAGAAATAAGTAAGTTATTTGACGCAAAAATGTTATGACGTCAGAACAGTTACTCAGTTTTTCATACAAATTTCATAGAAAAGTATCGTTTTTGACATTTGGATAAGAGTATTGAATTTGACTAGTCGAAAACTACCGTATTATAAGTAGGTAGGTTTGTAAATATCACACCGCAATCTGGCGTGACCCCTAAATTGAAGGCATGGGGTTAAGCGCGTGTAGTTCCATAAGAGTAGGGGTGGGGGCAACTAATTGAGTGTCATTACTTACATATAGGGTTGTCGAAATGTCAATAAATTTTATGATCGGTACTTCTTTGTTTTTAATAGTAGCTATCTTCTTTTTTGTAAGGGCAAAATCATCAAATGGCTTCTCCCGCCCAGGGAAAGTCGAGAGTGAGTGTCAGACTCTTACTGACTAAAACCCCCCGTTTCTTCTCCTGCTCCAGGCCGGCCGCAGTGCCTCATTGCGCTTAACAACCTTGGCCTGGTTATTTATTTAGCTTTAATATCATTCTTTTCCTATGTGATAAGGTGGTAAACGATCAGTGCGAATATCCGATGGTAAGCAATCAGTACCCCTCATAGAAGCAACATCAGACGAGTTTCAAGTGGGCTGCTGGCCATTTTGGGATTAGGGGTTTGGAGATTTAGGGATTGGGTCTCTGGTAACCTCATACGGTAAAATACAACGTTGTTCTTATTTCACATCGGTTTCTGCGAGGCCATGGTATCACTCCGGTCGAGCTGACCTATTCGTACCGAAGCATGGCTCCCACACTTACATACATTCTTATTGATAATAACACAAGTACCTATTTACGAAAATAATCCGCGTATCGTTACAAAAACTATTAATAAAATGTTGAAGCTGATTTCCAAGTAAATATTGATTTTAAAAAGCAATTAACTGCGACCTATCGAACATTAACACCTGTTTAGTCACATAACACACTAGCTACTCTCACGCGGTTTCACCCGCTGCTCGGTTCTACTTGATCGTAGCGTGATGTTTTATAGCCTAGCACTCAGGAATATTGTAGCTATCTATCAGTGAAGGAATTTTGGCAATCCGACCAGCAGTTCCAACTATTACCTCCTACATACAAACTTACAAATTTTACCTCATTATAATATTAGTATAGATAACTTATGCACGTGACTTCGCTCGTTAATTGTAACCAAAAAGTATTTATAAATGTAACCAACGTGTTTTAATAAGTATCGTTTCTTTTTTGTTTTTTTTTTACGTAAAATCGTTGGTATTGTAGAAAATCAGAGTGTGGGAGTCGGATTTTCTCCTGTGTCGTTGGTACAGTTGCAAACATACAATTTCGCCAGTTGACCAGACATTACGCAAACGGTGCAGTCAGATGTTAAAGCAGTTATTTATGTCTGTTAAACAGGGTTGCGAGTGGTGGGAGAGGAACGGGCCATCCCGTTCCTTCTTCTGCTCCAAGGCGAAGTAAGTAAGTAAAAGTCTTTTTTATGGTATAAGTCGGCAAATGAGCAGACGGATTACCTTATGGTAAGCAATCGGCGCCGCTCATGGACACCTGCAACACGAAAGGAGTTACGAGTGCGTTGCCGGCCTTTTGGGGATAGGGGTTGCGGATATAGGTAAGGATCGGTCAGAGATAGGAGAAGGGGCGGGATTGAGCCTCTGGTAACCTCACTCACACGGTGAAACACAACGCTGTGGTTGTTTCACGCCGTTATTCTGTGAGGCCGTGGTATCACTCCGGTCGAGCCGACCCATTCGTGCCGAAGCTTGGATTTCCCACACTTGCTTGGCTCTCCCACACTTCGGGGGAACGGACGGGACACCACGAACGGGCGGGTTTAGTCTGTAAGAGTCTGACACTCCCATTCTTCCCACCCAGGAAATTACATTTCTTCTCTTCAACGTTTCCTTTACCGTTTGATAATTTGTAACTAAATATAACTTAGAAAATATATATGGCACGGACAAAGTCATAACGGTACCTACTAGTCAGGTTTCGGAGCCGCGCCCTCATGCATGAGCTGCCTTTTTTTGTCAGGGGAAAGTCATCAAATGACTACTCCCGGCGAAGGTAAGGCGAGAGAGAGTGTCAGACGCTTACTGACTTACCTTACACAATTGGGCACACCACAGTTGGGGCCCTATAGGGCTGAACATCAGCCCTATAGACCGCGTTTACGGAGGCCGGAGATCATCTCTCGATGAGCGGCCTTATCATAACATCTGAGCAAAAGCAAAATCGAAATATTGATTTTGATTACAGCTATATAGACATCTAATGTTTCTCCATGCCTACATGCGCAAGTTATACTTGTTTTAAAAAAGAACATTACAAAGTATTGTGGTGCTTTTTATAGAATAGGAGGACGAAATAGCAAACGGATCACCTGATGTTAAGCAATCAGGGCTGCCCATTGACAACCGCAACACAAGAGGAGTCACAAGCGCAATGCCGTAATTTAAAAACCTTCAAGCTTCTTTGCACGCTTTTGCGGCGCAAACATAGAAATAAATTTAAGATTAATCGTTTATCGCAGCGTAAGTTGCGTAAAAAACAAAAATCATCACTAGATACGACGGAAAACAAAACTTGCTAGGCCCAGTCACAAAAGAATACATGACGCAGATTTTTAAGGGCGATCATTCATAAATAAGGGAACTCATGGTGTGTTTTATAAGGCGAAGAATCGCTTAGATATCAAGACTACCAAAAAATCCCAAAACATATTATTCCTACTCAATTTTTTTGGGTTTTTTTTTATTTTGATTGTTATGATTATTTTTTTATTCCATCGAAAAATTAAGCACCTAACAAAATACTAAGTGTTTTCTTTAAAAAAATGTGGGCTGAAAAATTTTTTTTCGTTTTAACGTATTTTTTTTATCTGTAGTTAAAATACATTGTATCCACATATTTTTATACTAATTAATCCTCTGCTTAAGCAACTTTTAGATCACAACATAGCAAACAAAGACGCTTTCTCAGTCTCTATATCCCTATGTATGTTTAAATATTTTAAATCTAGGTAGTACGCAACGGATGTTGATGCGTTTTTTTAATAGATATTGATTGAAGAGGTAGGTTTATATGTATATTAATATCCATGAAATAAAAAAATACTTGTATGAAATACAGCAGCAACGTGAATGTCAAAATGTCGCCGACGGCAACAGCGGCGCCGCTTAACCAAAACTTTAATTTTTTTACGAAATAACTTGTAGATGTAAGTACCTATTATGGTTTAGGTAATTAACTAAATGTGAACAGTTTTGGCTTTTTATCTAGAGTTGTCTAAAAATTTTTACAATCAGGTGCTTACCTAAATTAATGTTAGCTAATAAACTTAATTAAAATAATCTTTGTATTGTATATTTATACGACCTCTTTATCTAATATAAAAAGACATAAAAATATGGAACTAGATACAACAATTATTAATTGTTGTATCTAGTACACAAGTTCATCGTCAATAAAACGCGGGAAAAAATTATAAATAAAGTTTGACTTACCAGAAGTTGGCGGTGGTGCAGTAGGTGCCAATAAATGGTTATAACTTCTTAGTAAACAAGCCACTGATTCTAAGGAGTACAGAGGCATTCCAGACTCCATTATTTTTGCAATTAATATAATTTTCTGTCCTCACTTGAATAATTTATATCGTATTTTTTATAAGGCAAAAGTTTTTTTTTTGTCTATTATTTTTTGACACTTGTCACGAACATTCCCGCTCTTTTTCCTGTCAACGGGAGACACGGGAGTCGGGAAGTTGCTAATTTCTATTTCATTATGGTATTTATTGGTAACTGTATTTTTTCGTATTTTTCTATTTCTTATTTGTTACTTATTTCTTTCACTGTTGTGTACTATTAGGTAGTTATGTTAATTTCTGATCATGATGTTTTTATCTGAAAGAGAGCATTTTTTTAGAAGTTCTTAAATTTATAAAAATTGCAGGTGATTTTTTATATATTTTTTGTAGTTATTTTCTTGCCTAAATACACAATTGACTTTAACTTTTCCTGTCATACGCGCTGATCAACTGCCTAAGTTCCAATATTTTATAAAAAATATTTTTTATACCTACGAAAAGATAAAATTATCGCGGATCTTATAACGTGAATAAAAATATTTGTACCTAATTAAGTATACAAATACCTAGTCAAATTTCGATCTGTGTTAATTTGCTTTATGCTCAACGAAGTTTTTAACTAGGAATGAGACTAATACTTGAACTTCTACTGTTTATAACTTCAAAAAGCCAAATAAGTAATTAACTTCTAAATGCTATGTTTATGTTTTGAAATATCCTATAAATAAACTTAATTTCATTTAGAAGTTACAAAAGCTCTCTGTTTAATCACTTTCCAACGTCTTATATTCATAAATTGTAAAATATTTTTATTTACAAAATAATATTTCTAACGCAAACACACCACAATTCTTTAATCAAACAATTCCTATGGCTAACTAAACATATAACATTACGCCACAAAGAAAAACACCTTACTCTATGGTAATTTCGCGCGCTCTACCCCATTGGTGCTTTTCCTAATTGCATAGCTTCACACTTCACGGTGATTGGTGCGTTGGGTAATTATAATATTGCTTGGTGGTGTTTGATTGGCTGTGTGTGAGGGCACGCCCCCTATTTTCCCGCGGTTACCCGGCTTGGCTTATGCCACTACTGTGTAACGATCGCCGTTGAATTCTTAATGAAGTGTTATTAACTTTTCAGATGGTTCGAAAGGTTCTTTTTCAGGTGAAATTTGTTAATTAAATTTAGTTTAATAATTTTTTGAGAAGCTTTTGGTGCGATCAAGACATGTATAGGTTTCTACTTTCTATGAACTGTTAGACAAAGATATTATTTCTTCTACTGCTTGGGCGGGATTTTTGAATATTCTTTACCATTCGGTAGAGCGATAAAAAAGATACCTAAACATAGGTTATATACGGCTACTAAGTGAAGTTTTTTAAGAGAAAGCCATGCTTCGGCGCGAATGGGTTGGCTCGTAAACGGTGGCGTGAAATACACGGCGTGTTTCCCCATCCTTTCCTTTCCTCAATCCCAAAATTTTCAAATCCCCAAAAGGTCTGTAACTCCACCGTTGTTACTGATTACTACTGATTTGTCCATGGTTGGCGCTGATTTCTATCTTTATCAATTCTATTAGGTAATCCGTTTGCTCGTTTGCCAATATATTACATAAAAATAAGTACTAACAGAGAATGGTAATTGTTTTAGGAAAGATCGAAAATTTTGTAGTTTCCTACGTCAATGAAACAATGAAACAATGAATTTATTTTTGCAAATAGGCCATAAAACGCCACTTTTACAAGTCAATTTTTATGTCAAAAACTAGATGAAGCCAGCATTTCCTATCTGACTACTCTGAGAAGAAATGCCGAAACAAACTCAGAGGTCAGTCTCTTTTCAAGTCCAGACAATGTAAAAATAACATAATGTGAGAGAACCGTGCAAGTTCATTCTGTAGTGGTCTTTTGATGAAAGAACCACACCAGTTTAAGTGGACCCGTTCTGAAGACAGGCACGCAAGTGTCAGTTTGCAACCAGCATTGCAAGTGCTGCTGAGTTGTCCGACGAACAATACCGATCTAAAGAACATTTGGTTGGGTCGCGCAAGTACTCAAACTGTCAGAATAAATCCGTCCAGAATAAATAACATCAATACAATAAACTAAGTAATAAAATGTCATCATACTTTTACTTTCGACATCTATAGGTACTTCTATACTAATATATTACAAAAAGGTAAAAAAAATAAGTTTTTATGTTTGTAAATTTGTTCGTAGGGGGTAATCTTTGGAACCGCTGGTCGGATTACAAAAATTCTCTGATAAAAATTTACTGATAGATAGCTACAATGTTGCTGAGTGCTATAGGCTATAAAAAATCACGCTACGATTAAATAGAGCCGAGCAGCAGGTGAAACGGCGCAAGAGTAGCTAGTCTATTATATCCTTGATTAAGTATATTTTTTACTATGCTATGGTGACATTGTGTTACGATTTAATTCAAAATGATCATAGAAAATTATCGTTATTAAAATTCGTTTTGATCTATCCATTCATTCCTGCAGTCTGCAAACGAATATAAAATTATTATTATCCAAACTAATATTATACATGCGAAAGTAACTCTGTCTCTCTGTCTGTCTGTCTGTCTTTTCTTTACGCCTAAACCACTGAACCGATGTCTGTAAAATTTGGTATAGGTAGCCATAGTTTGGAATTCGAAAAAGGACATAGGATACCTAGTTTTATACCAAAAATCTGCAGGAACTCGCCATTCTGCGCGAACGGAGTCGCGGGCAAAAGCTAGTCAGCTAATAATTAAGACGCTGGCTACCTTTTCTTTACTTTATTTTTATCTGGGAAAAATCATCAAATGACTTCTCCCGTCCAGGGTAAGGCGAGACAGAGTGTCAGACTCTTACTGACTAACTTAAAACCCCCCTGTTCTGTTCCTTCACGTACCGGCTCTGGGCGGAGAATGCGGTATACAAATGAACTGACGAAATACCTGATGGTAAGCAATCAGCGCCGCCCATGGACACTCGTAATACCAAACGAGTTACTTAAAGTGCCCATCTCTTATTAGTTATAAGGGATGGGGGGTGGGGGAAGGGTGGAAGAATTGGGCCACCGGTAACACAACGTAAATGTTGTTCCACGCCCGTATTCTGTGAGGCCGTGGTATCCCTCCGGTCGAGTCGACCCATTCGTGCTGAAGCATGGCTTTTCCATACTTCCAGACTTTAACTTTTGTTTGCAAAGTAAATTAGTTTTTTTTATGTGATAGGTCGGTAAACGAGCAGACGGATTACCTGATGGTAAGTGTAGC